GCTGCACATGTGTGTGTGAGTGTTGGTGTGTGTGTGTGTTAGCCCTGTTAGCCCTGGCAAAGTATGCGTGTTCATGCGAAGCTCATAAACTGTGTGTCGGCAATGAGTATGTTAATTTGGTTAGAGGTGAGAACGCAGGTGAGAAATAATTTTGGGGCGTGGCATCGACTAAATGCCAATGCCAACAACAAAAACAACAACAACATATCCTTTGTGTGCGTGACCATCCAAAAACAAAACTACAACAAAAATCCAAAAAGAAAAGAGACAGATAAAATGTAGGGAGAAATTACTTACTCAAGTACTTGAAAAGTTTGCCGCAAAAGGCGGAAAATTACCCAACAAAATTGCACTTTTGCAATAAACTTTTTAACCCGTTAATTTCACTGTTTGTAAAGTTAGTTCGCCAAGACTTGCTCAAGTGTCAATTTATCAAAGAGTATACGAATTTGTAGTTTATTTATTTGCCCAAGGTATGTTAGTTAACGTATTATAGAAATATTGCTGAAAATAAATATAAAATACATTTATTTAAAGGGAAATTATATAATAGCATTCGTATTATTTAACAAAAAAGCCAACCATATTGGCCATTTGAATTGCATTAACCTCATCATATTGATTGGCCCCTTGGCTAATTTTATTTAGTGGCCTCTTTATATTCGATTGTATAGATTTTAAATTTGATTATGTTTGTTTAAACACACGCATGGATTTTCCATGGAATTAATTGAATTCCACGACAAGTGGCGAATAATATGTTGTTATGCGTTTTCGGTTTGTATTGTTGATATGCCATCAACGTTTTCGGTTTTATAAGTTATCCTATTCATAAACATTCCGCATTTAAAATTCCGTGTAAATTGAATTTCTCTGCTATTTTATTCTTCAATGGCTTTTCATTTCGCTCCACTTGAACTAAATGCGTTTAAGGTGGAATTTATGTTCGATGGTCTAAGAATCTCCTCGAAAAACAGCTTATTTTCTCGCTCCAAAACTTGCCACATTTTCAAGTTAAATGACTTCCTTCGAGGCATTTATTTAATCTGCTGCTGAGTTGTCTTTCCTGTCGCTTCCTCGTTTTTTTCTTGCGTTTTTCGCTTTCCGTTTCGCTTTTCAACTTAATTAAGAAATCCAATTAACATCATTGACATTAGATGTCCTAGAATATGCGCAATTTGTTTTGTTTTTATATAGTTTTTTTTTCGTTGGTATTTTCATGAGCACATGGCAGCCAAAAAATAAAAGAAAACACAAACACACGCATCTGCCGAAAAATAGATTTTTCCTTTTGCATATGTATGTGTGTGTGTGTGTGTAGGTGAAGGGGTGATGGAGAAAGCAGGACCTCGCTGGCCACCCCCGAAAATCCACACCCTTTGCTGACAAGTAGGCGTTGATGTTGATGTTGACGTTGGTCTCGTGTGTGTCCCTCCCTCCCAAAAAACCGGCCTTCCGCCCATCGCCACCCCCTCGTTGCGTGAGTCCCGAAATTGTGCGTGTGTGCGGCTTTTTGGGGGGGGGTGGGATGTGGGTGGTGGGCGGTGTGGGGTGTGGGGTTTGCCGGCTGGGCGCCTGTTCGTCCAACACGCAACAAACAAACGATAACAAACAATTGTGGCAACGACATTCGGATACTCAGTGTCTCCATTTCCCAGCCATAGTCGACCCCCTCCTCCCAAGTTTTCCAAGTCCTCCATTTGTCTTCTCCTGATTTTGGTTGGGAATGTCGGTCGTCCTCTCATCGTCGTCGTCCTCCAAATGCTGATTGTAAAGGCAGGGCTGGGAATCATGTTTTAAGTCGTGTTTACTGGCTTCAATTCCGAAATGTCCTTGAAGAGGTTTTAGCAATTTCAAGTGCCTCTCTGTTTTGGCTTACATTTGGGATACACTTTTAATAATAATAATACTTAAAAATAGATGAAACTTCAATGGAATTCAAATGCTTATACAAAATATTTTTTAATTAAATTTATTTTATTAATATAAGTATTTAAGTTTCCGCTTTTCTGGAAGGCTTAAATATGCTTTTAAAAAAACCTTTAAAAATCACGAGAGTCCCAGAAAAAATGCAGACTTAAAACAAATTTCAAATCACTGCATTATTACCTCTTTATTTCTACATCTCCTACCCTTTGACTGGCACTCAGTCGAACGAAAACAAAACACTTGCAATCCGATTTGTCGTTTCACTCAATTATGATAGCACTGCCGGGGTCAAAGGGCGCTCGTCCACGCCCACGAATCTGTCAAATTATCCACATGATCGCCGTATGTATTTCGCTGTGGAGCGGAGACAGACCTCAGGAAATCCCATTCAAGTCGGACAACTTTGGCTCATCTCCTTTCAGCTGGCTTAAACAGTGACACAAGTAACACAACTGCACGAGCAGCGGGAACGGGAACGGGAGCCACATTCAAGCAAATCTACTTAGCATAAACCAATTCACACAGAAACACACACTCGTACGCAGGTTGGGGCAAACACACTCACACACAACGAGAGAGAGAGATAGAGAGAGAGAAAGCAGGCAGCTTTCATTACAGGGGAGTGGCTGGCTTTCACTGAGCAGCTGACAAACTGGGAAAGCCAAAAACTGATTATGGCTTTACCCATTCAAAGCGACAGCACTCTGCACTTGCAAATAGACAAATGTGTGTGGTCTAGTGGGAGAACGATTTTAAGACCATCTTACTCTTAGAAATAAAATATTTTAAAAGAAAAAAGACATAACACTGGTTGCATGGTCACACTTCAATCGTAGTGTGACCTTGTACACTGACTTTATTGCCTCTAATGCGCGACCGGTCACACTTAACCTTTTATTTCTTCAAAATAAAATAGAAGATAGAAAAATAGAAAATAGAAATAGAAGAAGCATAATATTAAAATTGTTTTTAAAAATCCTTGAAGTAAATAAATATATCTACTACATTTAGGGATTTTCAGTGTACCTAAAAGTACAGCTTAAATGAGAAATAATCGAAAATGAGCTGCAACTAAGTTCCCATTCCAAGTGAAAATTAAAACATGTGCAGAAAGTGAAATTAAAAGTGATGCTATGTGCTTAGCACTCAACTTGCTTGCTTTCTTGGACCCTCGCGCCCCTCTAGAAAATGTCCCTACATTCTTTTTTTTTCGTTCTTATTTTTCCCAAGATCCCGTAAGTGAAGTACAAGTTAAGCTCGAGCCTTGTCGCCCAGTCACGTAGTCTTCTCTGCCCATAGCGAAGGTGCCTTTTCTGAAAGGCGAATGAAAAGGGGGACCGAGCTGTTCTTTATAAACAAATATTTGGATTTAGCAACTGAGTGAGCAGTTGGAGGGCAAAGGAAGCTTAAATTCGAGCAGAAAAAAGAAAGGAAGGAATTTTATTTCCAAGCTGAATTTTAGGCAGTCCTGTGGGTCCCCCTCTCTCTCTCTCTCGGCGGTTGTGTGTGTCTAGTTTACGACTTTTACTACTTTCTTTCCACTTTCTCTATCTCTCTCTCTCTCTCCATCTCTCTCGCTTTACCGCCCTCACTGCTTATGCAAAACCGCACCCATATTGGAGGACAAGTAGGAAAGCAGATTACTTATCTTTTAGTTTTCATTTAAATATGAAGACCAAATTGTACACACACGCCGTATTTTCCTTTTCACTTTTCTCGACCATTAGAGGTATATATGATATATATATATATATACACATATATATTTGTATGTAAAGGAAAACATGAGGAGGAGCTCCTTGGGTCTTTGTTTTCAAGCAAAACTCTATCTTTTGGGCAGATAAAGATGGAGCAAAAAGCAAGTGGATTTCTTTTTATTTACCGCCCGCCCTTTCAATTCCGGTTTTCATCTCGACTCGGCGTTTTTTTTTTTCCTCCGTCTATTTTTGGTTAGACGAAAATAATTGGATTTACACCGAATCAAGAATCAAGATGAAAACTAGGGAGGGAAATGAGAGGGAGGTTGGGATAGAAATAGGGATGTGGCATATGATGATGTCGTCATTCCGGAGGATAAAGTACAGTTGGCAGGCAGATGGGTCTATGTCTATGCCTTTATTCCATGCCAGTTGTGGGCTGGTAAAGGCAACTCAAATTGGAGATATTCATAAGTGAAATTTGTTATTCCAATAAGGAGATAACTTTGGGTTTTTTAAATGAAAACCATAAAAACATAAAGAAAACGGCAAAGCTAGCTATTCAGGTTGGTTTAATTTTTATGAATATTAAATATAATTTAACAAAAAACAAGAGAGAACGCTATAGTCGGGTTGGTGTCCCGACTATCTAATACCCGTCACTCAGCGAACGCGGGTTGGTGTCCCGACTAATAATCGTAACTCAGCTAAAGGGAGTGCGAGGGAGATAGATATATGTAGATATTTTGATTGCGTATAACTTTTTAATGAATGGTGCGATTTGAAAAATGTCTTCTACATTTCGATAGGTATAAATATACACAACAAAATTGCATTTATACTTCTCGGAAATCTTTAAAGATGTGGGCGCAGGACCCATTTTAAAATCGTTAGTGGGCGATTGTGGGCGTTAGAGGGGGCGTGGCGCTCGGCTAAAATAAACTTGCGCTGCGTAGGAAGCCAAAGAATATGTGTGGAAAATCTCAACCTTCTAGCTTTTGTAGTTTCTGAGATCTCAGCGTTCATACAGACGGACAGACGGACAGACAGACAGACGGACAGACGGACAGACGGACATGGCTAGATCGACTCGGCTAGTGCCCCTGATCAAGAATATATATACTTTATGGGGTCGGAAACGCTTCCTTCTAGCTGTTACATACTTTTGCACGAATCTAATATACCCTTTTACTCTACGAGTAACGGGTATAAATATAAAAAGGGTAAAGTATATAGATTCCAATTTACTTACATAGATTTTCACCCAATGCTAGTTGCTTAAGCACCCGAGCACAAAACCAAACACAAACACCATTTGATTATTCTGTTTGGAAACTTATCTTAATAATTGTTCTGCAAATACATAAATTCTAGCTCCGCAAACCGGCGTCGACACTCTCAATTCCTGGCTCGATGAAAACACCTTCCATTGCGAACCGGGAACAGATCTCATCTGGATGCAACGAAGAAGCGGCCGAGGCACTAGTGGGTATCCACTCAGACTACCCTAGGTATGAAATGTATGTATTGCCCGATCCGATCCGCCAGTAGAGTATGTATATACCAGCAGTGTTCAGCATTCATTAACCCTCGAACCTCCCCCCTCTACCCTCGCCCAGTCGACAAACTCCTCCATCTAGAGACCAAATCGATTTTGACCAAGTTTATGTAGGATGATATAGTAATAATATATATTTATTTGTAAATGAATATAGATCATGCTCTTTTAAAGCAGTTAATAGCAAAAGTTGCATGGTCACACTACAATCACAGTGTGACCTTGTACACAGAGTTTATTGCCTTTAAAATAACTTAGTGCCGGTTTCTCGAGTCCCTGTCAAAGTCCCTGATAGCTATCTGTCCGAAAAACTTAAAGACCAGATAAACTGTTCGTAAAAGCAAATCGGCTTCCTCGACTGCTTTAATTTATCTGAACGAGAAACAATTACAGAGTGCTGTTAACGTACAGAATTATGCTGTGAAGCGCAAAAAATTGCGTGCTTCGATTATTTCATCAGCTGTTTGGGTATAAGTCAGCTGTGATTTCGTTTCTTTTTCTTAGTTGGCTTTGGGAAATCAGCTGTCATTCTATCGAGCCGAAAACGCTTAACAGGGACACCGAGTCCCTGTCAAAGTTAGCTCTCACATTTATGCTCGAGAAAGTCAAAATGCCTTAGCAGGGACTTTATCTGTTCGAGAAATGTTAGCCGGCACTCGAGAAACCGGCCCTTAATAGAATAGATAGTAAGCTTTTTAACACATTTGTAGCGATTAGCAGCATCGCAATATATAATTTTAGACAAATCAACATGTTCGATTTTTTGCTCAGTGTGCGATTTAAGGAAGGTGCACTGCCACTGAAGACCGACATTGAGGGATTGGACTGGGAAACGATAACCGTAACTGTGGGCAAATCATTGACTGATGGATGGCCCGGGGACAGTAATTAGCTGTCAATGTCAGGACAAGTGACCCCGGGATGAAGATGAAGATGAAACTGACGATGATGATGATATTGCGAGGGCAAAAATTGAAATAGGGCAAATGTCCGGGGTAATATTCATTGGGGAGCGCTTGAGAGCCGGCGCGATTCAATTTGAGCACTCTAAAGTGAATTCAGCTCACGAATGGCTGCTGGGTTGGTCCGGTGGTTCGATGGTCCACTGGTCGTCTTCTGGTGTCCACATAAATCTCTATGAATGTCGTCGATGGCAAGATATTTTCCTGCAATCACGTTGGCAATTTGGCACAGTTCAGCAGTTTATAGAGGGGGCAGCACACAGAGAAAGGCCAGGGGATTGGATATATGGCTATGACTACGACCAAGACTACGATTGTGACTGTGACTATATGGGCATCGAAAACGAGGACAGCCAGCTGTGTGTGTGTGTATGTTTTCATTTGTCAGCAAAATTTTTATTGGCCATCTTTGGCTCATTCAAAGAGCATGGGGTTTTGTACCCCCCTCCCCACCCCTTTTGTCATCGGTGTCTGTGTATCTATAAGATACAAATTGATATGACACATTTAGGAAAGCCGGCGCAAAGCGAAAACACACAAATCTGTCATTCAGGCTGTAAGATTTATTAAGGTGCCGACTAGAGTTGAACGGAGCTCTGAGTTGGATTCGCTCGACTTGAGTTCCGTTGAGTTGAGTTGGGTTGACTTAACCCCCAGTAACCCCCCTCATCGCAGCGAAGAAATCTCGACAGACCTCCTACAGCCACTTAAGCATTAGTCAGCGATCTGGGAAAAGCACTCAGTGGGGGTTGAAAATGGATCAGGATTTAATGGTAAATCCCTTACTGTCTATTAAGTACTAAAAAATTAATTGTTGACTTAATGAAAATAGGTTACAAAATTAAGGTAAATCGCTTTGAATTCAACGATATTTCCTGGTAAACCCCTTAGTTTAGATATTATATAAAGCACAGCCCATCCCAATAAGAGAAAAATCCACATTAGTTGAGCTCATTAGTAGCCTATAAATAAATAGCCACATCACAAGTAGCTTTAGATTTCCATCCATAAATAGAATCATTCATGGCAGGGAATTAAAAGAGCTTAACGAGGCATACTTAGATATTCTTGCCGCAAAAAAACCTGCAATTAATAAAAGGATTGGACTACGGAAATAATAAAAAATAGAATTGAAAGGTCAGAGAGAAGAGAGAAGATTAAATTAAATATGAATAGGATTAGAGCGAAGACAGGAATCATTAGAGAGAATAATACAAATACCCATACAAATCCGTTTTGTTAGAGTAGTAAACCGTCAATTTATTAAAATAAAACAAGATGGTTGATACTGTAATTACATACCCAAACACATCCGTCAATTAAAGTAGTTAACAATCGATTTATTCGGTAGTGGAAAGTGTAGCACGACAAAAAATGGATGGGGAGTGAGTGGGTAGTGAGTGTGGGCTCTGCAGAACCCATTGGCAATCTGATTGAACCCCATTAACCCCGCAGGTATATGGAAGAACGTGCTCTTACTGGCGGCAATACGTCCAGGAAGCCATCAACAAACTCGGCCAAACACAAACCCAATGTGGGCTATCGCCTGGGCAAGAGGAAAGCCCTCTTCGAGAAGCGCAAACGGATCAGCGATTACGCCCTGGTCATGGGCATGTTCGGGATCATCGTGATGGTAATCGAAAACGAGCTGAGCAGTGCCGGTGTCTACACAAAGGTGAGATAACTAAATATGTATAAATATATTTAAATATGATTTATATATAATACTAATCCCCTAACCTTAACCTTCTTTTACCTCCTATTTTGCAGGCATCGTTCTACTCGACAGCGTTAAAAACCTTAATATCTGTTTCGACTGTGATTCTTTTAGGACTTATAGTAGCTTACCATGCTTTGGAAGTGCAGGTGAGAGTGAGTGCAAATTGTATTCTTCTCTTCCAGATGTTATTGATGTTCTTGCTGATGGTCGTCATCGTTAACTGTTTAACGTTGCCGTCGTCACTGTCGCTCACTGTCACCATATAATACCCCCGATATAGACCCCCCAGAAATCCCCCCTTTCCCCAACCAACCAACCAACCAAAAAAAAAAAAAAAAAAATGAAAAGAAAAAGAAAAAGAAAACCCACCCTCTATGGTCATGCTAACCCCTCGAAATCCCACAAAGCCGCCCCCCCCTGTCCAACTGTCATCATCGCCATCTCGGTTTGTTTGTTTGTATGTTTGTTAGTTAGTTAGTTTGTTTGTTTGCTGTTGAAAAACGTTTTCTTGTATCCGGTTATGATTTCGATTTACTATCTTTTGTTTTTCCCTTTACTTTCAATGTGTTTCTCGCATATTGGGAGCGTGAGCAAGAGTATGAAAGAGCGATGGAGAGTGCATGTGCAGTGAAAGTTAGTTGAGTGAGTGAGAGAAAGTGACAACCCGTTTCCGTTTCCAGTTCCGGTTCCGTTTCCCATTTTCTCATTCCACAGCCCACCTTTCCACGTTCCCCTTCTTACCTCGCTCCATTCCGCCATTTCTCCGGACATCTTTCATCTAGTCCCTCTACAAAAGAAGAGAAAAAATAAAAAGATAGTTTCATCCCACCACAAAGAATCTAAAATGAAAATATGAAAAAAAAAACAAAAACAAAAAAGTTATGAAAGCTGAAACACTGTACATAAAGCTAACCATTCTCATTCACCGAACTCACCTTAACCACCCTCACTCTGTTCACCACAGTTGTTTTTGAAATCAAGATCCTCGCTTTTAAATTATAGTTTGAAAAAAAAACAATAAGGAAATTATGCTAACGTATTGTATTAACAATTTCCAAATCAAAAAATCAATAAAGCATTTTAAATTTTAATTAAATTGTAAGAATACCCTTAACAAGAATTACATCCTCTGTGGTGAAATTCTCTTTATCGATCAATCGATCGTAAGCAGCCCTGTTTTGGCATTTTCATTTTAATTCGTTTCATTTCCATTTAACGCAGATCCTCTAAACATGATATAGACCGGAACTTATTGACAATACTAAACATTCCATACCAAAATCGTTTTCGTACTCGTTTACCTCCAATATGCGCTTCAAATACCAGTTGCATGTACAGCACTATAATTTGTTTAATTTGCTCAACATTTTTGATATATATGATCCATATATATATACATTTATATATATATTTATATATAATCTATACAATTTCCACTTCTACTTCCTCTTCTTCAACTTATTGGTTTCGTCTTACTTTTCTCGTTTCGTTTACCTTACAATTAAAAATACAAACCACAAAAAACCAGTAAATTTAGTTAAGACATGTGTTAAAAATTATCGTTGGCATGAGTTAAACATATATAGCTACATATATATAAATAGAGAAAAAAATCTCAACCGATTTGAAAACAAATGCGGTTGGGGATCATTTCGTTTGGAACTTAGAAATATGTAGAGAGCATGGGAGCATCTATTTGCCTAGTTCGTAATTCTGTTGATTCTAACTTAAAACATGAACAAAACATAATTATATACAACAACATGATTGATAACAATATTATCTATTAGCAACATACTCGAATAAAACCGAAGAGAAGTGGAAGATACTCGAAAACCCTGAACTTTCGTTAGCTTCATCGAATCAAACTGAAATACTGATGTTTGTAGGGACAAAGTCCTGTGTTCAGTGATTGAATTTGGATTGGTAATTGAAGTCTCCATATCGATAACTCGATATGGCTATCGATAGTCAGCGAATCAGCCTCGTTATCGCAATAATCGCAATCTAAAAGAAGCTACAGCAAAAACCAAAAAAAAAAAAAAAGAAACCTTTTACCCCTTTTAACTCTCACAACTGCATTCAACCATTTCCATGTCCATGATTCAATCAAGTCAGGTCATTGATCAGTCGTCTGTCAGTCAATCAATCAACCAAACCAGTCAACCAGTCAATCAATCAAATCAAACCAGTCAGTCAGCTGATATACTTTCTATAAATATATACAAAAATCCCCCTCCCCAAAAATCTCATAATTCGTAATCTCTTCACACAATTTGTTCTCTCTCTATTATAATAATATAACTCCGAATAAATGTTTATCCCCCCAAATTAATGTTGATGTTTAAGAGTAAAATTTTAATATGTAATTACCTTCCATTATGCTTTGCAGAATTCAGTAAGTAATACTTATTATAATGTCTACCATACATACTTCAATATTTGTGAGTAAATCCAAATTAAAACCATGCATAGTGTTATGTACCATATACGGAAGCAACCAATACCAATACCAAAACCAACTCAAATCAAAAACCAAAACAGAAACCAAAAACTAAAAACTGAAAACTAAAAACCCAAAACCAAAAAACCGAACCAACAAAACATGCCTAGAGTAGATAAACCATAGATCGTACTTAGACTTGGGTATACGTATATACATACATATATTACATATGTATATCCAAAAATGCATACTGAAGCCAAAAAGCTGAAACCAAGCAATAACTTCAAGTCGATGTTTAGTTGAACCCGCGTCTGTACCTTTGTATATCGTGTCTAGTGTATATATATATACAATCCTCTTTTTTTTTGTTTTTTTTTTCCATGGAAACTAAACCAAAAAACTGCAGCTACAGATACGAATAATACTGTCACACGCCATCCAAGATCAAAGGCAACCGCTTGGCTGTTAAATAGCGAAAATTGTGGCTTAGCTTTGCACCGAGAATCCACCCGAACCACCCAACCGCAATCTCACCTTGTCTTGCAGTACAGTACGTACGGTATACAGTAAACACTGGCCATGTGCGAATCGATTGTGGAAATGTTTGACCATAAGAATTGAAAAGGTGGAAGGTTTCTGTAATTAAAGAGACAAAGACGTCATTTTTAAATTCCAATTATCATTAAATTGCTTACCTCTAAAATTTCCACAGGATTTTCACTATTAATTCCAAACATAGTTTTTTGAGAATGGTTTCTCTTTGGTCTTGGAAAAAATGTAAATATAAATAAATAAACCCTTTTCTTCTTACAAAGACTTGATTGTACCTTAATTTTTAAGGGGTCAATCCCCCCTGTCAGAAATTCCGATAAAAAAAAGAAAATTATTAAACTCAAAAAATAGAATACTCTGTAAATCATTTTTGAAACATTTTCCAATCGGCTTGCATATAAATAAAATAGATGTACATTTGCACAACATACATACAAGCATATCCGCATACATATGAGCATTCCCATTGCTAAGTCGATACTGAATATATATATGACTATAAAGCATATATATATTAATCGATATATGTACTATCAAGCATCAAACCCATCTATCACCAAAATTAGGGGCAAAAACATCGAAGTTTGGCCAAATCAAAGAAAAAGAACACAGGACTTTGTGAATGCGAGATAGGAGAGACCTTGCAACCAGACCTTGTCGTAAATCGATAATCAATTAATCAGTCGGCTTAACTTGCGAATGGCTCATATGCAATTAAAAACGAAAGACACACAAATCAAGAAAAAGAGAAAAATGCACATCATTTAGCTTGTTGTGCGAATAGCCTTTGCATTCAAGATGGGGAAATATTAATGCCTATCGATTATCGCGATTACCTGCAAAACCATCGATAACTTGGATATTTCTCCATTTCCATTTTCACTTCGCCTAGATGTTATGTGATGTGATGTGATATTGATAGATGTTTGTATATATGGCCTAATTGCACTGCGAACTTTAGATTAATGCAGTTTAATGGTTAGGGTTCTTCCGATTACCCCGCGATTGAGTCCAGTGAGTGGGGTGATTTTGAACTTTAGATAAATTGATTTGACAACGAGAAAGTAAAGAAAAAGGATAAAGGTAAAACAGCAACCAAGAAAACAAGAACGAAATCGAGTGAAATGTGCTAATTACACGAGAACACGCACGCTGCTTTCTAGTAAGTACTTGCACTCACACATGCACCGAAGCACTCACACACGCGCACACGCACAACACACACACCTACACCTTAACCTAAACCGAAAGAAATAAAACATAAGACACGAAATGAATTTCAGAGGAGATTCCATAGCCTACGATACTTGAACTTGACTCGGGAATTGCTTCCACCACTAAAACAAAAACCATTAACACACACGTAGGCACACACACAACCTCAAAAACTCGCACACCCACACCCACACACACACACCCCATTGACGTTGTACTTGTCAAATAATTCATGCTCGTATATTTGAGTGTAATTCATTTTTGTTTAGTCGCAAAAAAACCAAAATCCAATCAATAAATCTCCAATTATAATTAATAAATTATATACTTGTTCTCCTTTTTTCTTCCCCTCTCGTTTCCTTTTCTTTTTTGGCACACACCAACGAACTAAATCAAATCGTATCGTACCGCCATGCATCAATATAATACCAATCCAAAATCAAAATCAAAATCCAAATCGAAATTAAAATTGAATTTGAAAAACGCAGTTATTCATGATAGATAACTGCGCCGACGATTGGAGGATCGCAATGACATGGCAACGAATTAGTCAAATAGGGTTAGAACTTTTTATATGCGCTATACATCCAATTCCTGGCGAATACTATTTCCAGTGGACGACGAAATTGGCCAATAAGAATAAAACAATTGGCACCGAAATGGTGCCATATGACGTAGCTTTATCATTACCTATGTTCCTTCGATTATATTTAATCTGCCGCGTAATGCTGCTGCATTCAAAGCTATTCACAGACGCATCATCACGGAGCATTGGCGCTCTCAATAGGATTAATTTTAACACAAGGTGAGTTTAGAAATTTTATAGAAACCTATGTATTATAATAAAACATAATAATATTAGTCTTAGTAAAGCGGAAATTAAATGGAGTCTAAAGGTTGATGCAGATCCATATTTGGATCAACATTTTCATTGTCTCGGTCAAAAACCAAATTATTTTTTTGAGAAAAATTGCAATCTGGGTTTTTGGTAAAAATTTGAATTTTTTCTTCTTGTTTTTTGCTGTAACTTGGCCAAAAAAGGTCCTACACCAAAAATGCATACTGTTTTGAAAAGATAACAAAATAATAAATAAATCCATAACACTTTCCGTGTGATTTTGGAAAAATTAAATTTTCGCCAATTTTTAATTTTTTAATAAGGGGTTACCCCATGATTTTTTTCGAAAAATTAAAAATAAATAAAAAGTTTAATGTTTAAATGCCAATCGATGGGAAATTTAATAACGAGTTCAGAAAGGTATGACTATCCATACTTTGAGTCAGTATTTTTTTTGTTTTAGCAAAAAAACAGCTTTGTTTTAGCTAAAAACCTGTTTTGGTTCTAAACGAGTATTTATCTTAAGTATTTCACTAACTCCTTTTCTTTATTCCCTTTTAGATTCGTTTTAAAAACTCTAATGACAATATGCCCGGGAACGGTTCTATTGGTCTTCATGGTCTCGCTGTGGATCATCGCATCCTGGACGCTGCGTCAGTGCGAAAGGTAATGGCCATATTCTATTATCCGATTTATGATATGATATATATTTCTACTTACTTGTTGAGAATTACATTTTACTTTATTTTTTACGTTTGATTTTTGATTGTACTTATGCTTTTGTTCCTTTTTATTTGGTCTCAATGGTTGATTGGTTTCCTTAGTTTTTTGTTTTTCGGTTTTTCGTTTCCTTATTCCGTACTCCGTTTTGCGTTATCCGTATTCTCTTAAGTTTTCTCTGAACGCCATTTCCGTTTACCGTTCTGATTCAATGTGTTTGCCACTAATATTTAATATCAATGTATGTATGTACATAAATGTATGTGCCAAGCATTACGTAATGTCTTCTCCAAGAAACTAAAAAATAAACTCCAAACTCGAAATTTAAAACACCTTCGTCACAAGTTGTATTTGCTTTTTTTTGTACTCTCCTGTATAAAACATATTTTAAAGTTGTTTAACACATTTTAAAGTCCGGAAAAAGGGGCAAAGGGGAAGTTAAGCACAGCCACAGCTTACAACATACACGAAACAAAAAACAAAAAAAAAACATAAAGCGAATGTGCATTGTTGCTTATTCATACGTGCTAAAGAATTTACATGTAGCTTGCATTTTATCCACATACACACAAATGAAAACGAAAACGAAATCCCCGACGAAATACCGAAACTGTAACGAGTTCGAATGCGAATCTGTAACAATCGAAATGCAATTGTCACTGTCACGTAGCGAACGATTGGATAATGGATAATGCTTGCATGTGTTTCAATTTATTTACATTTGGCATTCGGATTCGCTTGTTTTTTACAACCTCTCCCATCCCCACCACCCTCCAAAGAACCCAAATTGCTTTTTTACATTTATCTTGCCTGTTCTTTTCCCCTTTTCTGACAACTGACAACTTATCGATATATTCGATGAAAGTTGATTGAAGTCCTGCACTTATTGGGGGAAAGGGGGCAACAACAACAAAGCAAAAGACACACACACACTCTTATAGAATTGGAGAGTGTAGTAAGAAGAATTGAATGTGACTGTACAGAGAAACAAGATGATGCATGGCCACACCGTTCTTCAATTATAGCTGCAGTCACACTGCTTGCTTTGTATGGATATTAAGCAACATGAAAGTAATAACGGTTGATCCAAGCCCATCTTAGTTCTCTGTATCGCGCTTTAACCGTATATACTTGCATATTTATCCCTAAGCCCGTATTATCCCATTTGAAATTTTCTATAGTTTTATTCAACTTTGAATCTTTGTGCTTGAACGTTGTATGCCTAGCTCTGTCTATCTTTCTCTCTCGCTCTCTTTTGCTCTTACTTACCTCACTTCTCTTCAGCAAATTCTCCTTGCTTTTGAAGGAAAACCATGTATTATGACACAGTTTATGATTGAATTGGCGCACCATATATTCCTCTCGCTCTTTCTCTCTTTCTACTGATCCCAGTCTATTGGCCTTCGGTATACTGTTTCTGTCCTCTTTCAATTTCCTCTGCTCTCTCACTCTCACATTGATCCATTTCAGTTGTTCTTGCGATTCTTACATTTTTCTTTTTAGTTTTATTGTGGATTAACGACGATTCTTATGTTTTTCGTTGTTGTTGTTGTTGCTGTTTAGTTTTGGGAAACGAAACATAACAGAAAAAAAAAGAAAACCAAAAATAACATTCTTACATATCGCATATTTATTTAATCAATTAAGCTTTAAATTGTGGATTGAACTGCGCCTGCATTTCTGTAGATCATATATCTAAACATCCTTATATATGTAACCAAAAATAAACTTGAAACAAAAGTGTTAATTCAAAACCAAACGAAATTAAAAAACGAAAACATAAACAAATGCCCAACCCCAAATACATATAAATGTGTTTAAGGGATCCTAACTCTTTAGAGCCCACCGAAGAATCCAACAGCTGTGTTTCAGTCTAGTGACGAAAGCATATACACCTCTCCATAAGTTCTTGTTGTTGCTGCTGTTGTTGTTGTCGTCCTTGTTGTTGCGTTGTTCCCATAGCCAAAATACTCAAAGTACCCTCGCATGTCTGTGCAGTTTGATCTATAAGGTTATAAATAAAAACATATTTATTAGTTGCATTCGCTGCACAGGCATGTCGAAAATCGGACAATAACAGCCCAGAAGACAGAAAAGTAAAAGAGTGACAGAAGCACTTAAACGTTCCTCCTCCTTCTTCTTCTTCTTCTACTTCTGCAACTACTACTTTGTGCAATTTATGTGAATATATTCTCGACTTTCATTTTATTTTCGCCTCAGATGAGTGACACGTATTGATTTGCGTGCAACATCCTCCGCTCGATTTGTTTCTGATTTTACCTTTCCGCGCTTTCATGATTTTTTATTGTTTTTGGCACACGGCGATATGGACTATGGACTCTGGACTGACTGGTTAACAAACAAATGAAAAAGCTCAGTGAGAAATAAACGAAAAATAAATACAACGAATATGTGTATGTCCTTCCATCTCGAATCAAGAAAACCGAACACCCAAACTCACACAGCCCACGTATACAAACATGTGTATTTATCGTAACGATGTTGAATTTTGTTCCGAAAACCATAATTAATTCGTATCTCGATGTTATTTTCTGTAGAAATTGGTAGAATTGGTTCTGAATTTCCTAAAACCAAATTTTATGTTTCGATCTGTATCTGTCTGTTGTTTAGCCGGGTCCACCTGTGGTCCCATCTTTATTTTCCGTTTTAATACATTTATCTATCTGTGTCTGTATGTGTGTCTGTATGTACGTGTATGTGTGTATTGTTGGAGATCCCCGGAAAACGTATCCTAACCAACCAACCATGCATGCTCTGCTCAGCTCGGATCAAAGCTCTGTGAGTTAGATATTAGGACAGGAGGATGTAGGCGAACAATGTGGGGGAAAGCCAGGAGAAAACATTTTGTGCGGCATTAAAAGGGTATTTACAAACACTGAACAAACAAACATACACGGAGGAAACAAATTCAAAAGCTAGAATATTATATTTAAAGTGTTTTTATTTCAATTAGTTAACAATTTGAGATTTAAGTAAAGGATTTATTGAATTGTAGTCCAAGTGCATGGTCACACTGGTCCCAAGGGCTCAGTGTGACCATGCATTCGTTGATAAGTCATCGTTAACAGGCCTAACCAATACTTCCAAAGTTCGAACTTGTTTTCCCAGTGTACTGCCTCTTGGCATTCATTATGATTTTTCCTTTGCAAATTGCTTAAGCCTCCCCATTCACACACAACCCACCCAAACTCTGACTAACAGCCACATCCACCCGCCCTTCGAAAAACGGCACCCAACGGAGCTGTGCCGGCAGGCATGCTTCAGCATTTAGTGGCCACATCTCTAGGGCTTCAGGTGGTGAGCCTCTTCAGGTAGAACAGCGGGGCATTATGGGGCATACATAACTCTCGGATGGGCCATTTTAGTCGATTTGCATGTAGTCACAAGTGTGCGCCGTTTTGTGTGAGTGCGAAGTATGTACATATATGTATGTTATGTGCATCTGTGCCGTTCAGATCAAGAGTTATCAGTTGGAAGACGAACCCCAAATCCCAGACCCAATCCCCAAACCCAAACCCAAACCCAAACCCAAGCGCCTTTCCAATCAGACTGTCATGCCCCCGGCAGGAAGAGATGATGAAGAAAAAGAAGGAGGAGCAGGAGCAGGAGCAGGATAAAAGGAGTGTAAATGAGAGGAGAACAGTTTTTGAATCGATGCCGAAGCAAGTGTTGTAATCAAATTGCCAAACTACCATCCAAACTATAATTATTCAATATTATTCATGTCATTGTATATTCCAAAATATTCCCCCGCCGCCCTCTTTACAAAAAAAAAATCTATCTACCTATCTCTCTATCTGTATCTTTCAATCTATCTTACTATCTCGCTCTTATATTCTATTGAGGTCTTTTAATTCGTTGCCCAAAAATAAAAGAAAACAAACCTAAAGATAAAGCAAATTACTTTCCTGTTTCATTTAATTTAATTTCCTTATTTTTTTTCTTTCCCTTATCCAATTTTTTCCTTATTTTTGCGTTTTGTAATTGTTTTATTTATTTTTTGTAATTTCCGTTGTATTTATACGTATTCTTTTAATACATGGAAATTTTCTAAAAATATGAAAAAATTTACCAAATTGTATTCTTAATTTTTCTGGAGAACAAAAACCAAAACCAAAAAAAAAATAATAGAAAAAATTTAAACAAAAAATGTTCACATAATTTCACATCTGTTTATTTGTTTACTCCACTTCTCACCCTACTTCTGTATCCACAAATTGCAAAAAAAAAAAAAAAATACCAACAAAAATGTATGAATCGAATATATTTATGAAAAATACCAAACAACAACCGAAAAACAACCGCAACTTGAAAACGCATACGAAATACGCACTACGCATCTGAAATACCGAATTCTCTATATATATTTTTGTATACTGAAAACCGCTAACGAAAAAAAAACATCAACGGCAAAACAAAAATCAATAAAACCAAACCAAAAAAAAACAAACGTATCATAAATGAAAAATCCAAAACGAAATGACTGAAATTCGTTCCCCATATATATATATATTCCCACAATGCCAAACGCATGCCGAACAAATTCCAAACCAAAACCGTTTTACGATCCGAACCGATTCGATCCGCAAAAAAAGGTTCCACGATGAGGAGCACGCGAATTTGCTAAACTCCATGTGGCTAACGGCCATCACATTTCTGTGTGTCGGCTACGGCGACATTGTGCCAAACACGTACTGTGGACGCGGTATCACCCTCACCTGCGGCATGGTGGTAAGTATTTCCTCAAAAACCTAAAAAAAAAAACAAAAAATCAAAAACCTCAAAAGAAATGACCAAAAAAAATACAAAGACTCCCAAAAACTCCATTTATGATACCGAAAAATACCTTAAATATACCAAAAACAAACTAAATCAAAATAAATACCAAAAATAGAACAGTACAGAACAGAACAGTTGCAAAGATAAAACAGAACAGAAAAAATTGAAAATACATCTATCTATATCCAAACAATAAAGAAATCCTATAATAAGATAAACAATAAAACTACAACAACAACAAGTACATACATCATCATCAACAAAAACAGCAACAACAACAGCAAACAGCAAACTTTCATGCATAAAAATATGAGAAATCAAAACCCATCGCAAGCAGAGAAGAAGTAGTATAAAGAGGAGAAGGTGGAGAAGGAGGAGGAGGAGGTGGAGGAGTGGAAGGATGTTAAGGGGGATGGGGGGTGGTGGGGGCCCAGAAAAGTAGCCGCCATTGAGGCGCCACCGAAAAAAAGGAAACCAAAACCCCCGCTCCGCACAAAAGTACATACATATATATAGTATTTTATAGTAATTGTACCTGCCAAATCAACCGATACACACGCACGCACACAGATCTCTGTACACCGAAAAAAAGATGTCAGATTTGGATGGGTAGAATTTTAAAAATTCAATTCCAACACGAAAAAGCCAGTGAAATAGAAAAAAGCTTTCTGATTTCTGAAAGAACCCATTGGTTCAATCCGAATTTCTTAAGGAAAGAAATCTAAAACGTATTGTATGTACCATAAATATTAGTTATAATTTTATGTCAATACCACATATATTCATTTTCATCGACAATACGCTTACGATCCATTTAATAATAATAATTATTTTAAATATCAGTGGTACTCAAAGGCAACACACTTTTTTTTTCTGTGTACGTGTGCGGGCGTATTCCCTGACCTATCTTCTCGATGTTCTCGAGTTCGAGTTCCCCTGCCCCCTTGTCGTCGCCACCACCAAGTTATAAATTCAAATTCAAATATCCAAAATCCGTTTTGATGGAGGCTCCACCCACACAAACAAGAGGAAAAAGGCAAAAAGAAAAAATAGACAAAAAACACATATTCATTTTTCGTAGCATACATTTCAGCGCACATATTTTAGATGCCGTTTTGTCTGCCCAAATCGTCGCCAAAACAACAAAAGAAAAAAACAGAAAATCCGAAATAAACTGAAAAAAGCGGAAAGCGAATGTCAAGCAATAGTTCCATATCTGTATACCCATCCCGCTCTATCTGGTTTTTTGTTTCAGTCAGGCCGCGATTAATACAAGAATACGTACATATATACAAGCACATTACATTCCCACATCCACCCACCCACACACACACACACTCTGGCAATCTGTTGTAAATCATCACCAAAAAAAATCTTACCACCCACTTTGTGTGCGTGTGTGTGTGTGTGCTTACTGTATTATAAACATAAGCATACATTCTATATATATTTAAATATATGTACATAATCACCATGTGTGCCTGTGTGTGTGTGTGTATTTTTGCAGCATTAAAGAGCGCAGATAACAATGTAACTGTTCTTTTTGTCCTTTTTTCTGACAGCGAAAACTAAAACAAAAAATCCTGACACTCACACACACACTCGCACACAGGCAGATGTATTTTAAAGAGGAAGCAGAGGAAAAAAAACGAGAAAAGTTTTTGCTTCCTGGTAAAACAAAACAACAAAAACAAATACAAAATCATAACAAATCTTTTCTGACGGCTCCGGCAAATTCTATTAATGTGCACATTTAACTGTCTGCGTGTAAGTGTGCTCGTGTGTGGGTGTGCGCGTGTGTGTGTGCGAGATCCTTGGAAAAATTAAATTGAATTGTTTTCTGCACCCTAGAAGCTCCATTCTTGAGAAAATCAAAGTCACTAGATTACATAAAAACCAAATATATCTATTTTTCAACTCTCACTTTTGTACAGCAAGCTTTCATCGGGCTAAAAAACAAAAACCCCATGGTTGTACATATATACATTCATATATATATATATATTAACGGTTACGTCCATAACTGTCAACATTTCAATATATCCGAAAACCAAAAACCCCTACCCCAAAAAAACCAACTACAAACCCCATCAAGCTCTTTTTGGACCACTGTATTGTGTGCGCTCACCCGTTTACTCGTCCATTTGTTGTTAATCTCGTTTTCCTATATGCAGAATGACCATTCTAACTTTTACTTTTCAGTTTCCACAATTGTTATTTTTTGTTTTTCTTACTTTTTCGTTTTCGTTTTTGTTTCCCTTCTTTTTGTTGTATCGCTTATCGTTTTTGTTACTCTTTTCGTTTAAGTTTTACGTTCAACTAATTTAACCTATGCCAATTTAGTTTTTAATGGATTCTTATGGTTTCTTTTTTGAACATTAAGCCAACAATACGATATTTTTCTCTATCTCTCTTTCCCTTTCATTTAAAAATAAACGCGTGTATTCAATTTGACCCCTGAAACTGAAACTGAAACTTCAACCGATTAAATCCATAAACAAAACCATAATCAATTCAAATATATATTATAAATATATATTTCGAACCCAACAAAAATAAATATGAAAATATATGAAAACGAAACAAAATCGCGTGCTGGTTTATGGAACAGATTTCATGATGAAGAACATGCGAATCTTTTGAATGCAATGTGGCTGATAGCGATAACATTTTTGAGTGTTGGTTTCGGTGATATTGTTCCGAATACGTACTGTGGACGTGGTATCGCTGTCAGTACAGGAATAATGGTGAGTTTTTAACAACAAAATATTACCAACAATTGCACACAACATAACAATCAAGAAATATATATGTTCAACAACAAAGAAAATTAGCAATTAGCAAAAAAAACAAATCAAGATCTTTCAAATAGAACAAAAATCACATGTAAATAATTACATAAACTGCATACGAATGTTTACCCGCCCACCATAACCGCCCCTCGCCGCCACTTTTAACAAAAACACAAAAAAAATAGATTAAAATCTAAACTCACCTGAATTGTAATATTTCTAGTTAACTGTACATACATATATCCAAAAAAAAAAACCTAGTTGAATCACCAAAACGAGCTTAAGGAGATAGGATAATCGCATGATTCTATGCAAAACTGAGATCAGATTGAGCAACTTTCCAGCCGATCCTGCCCCAAAATGTTCGATAGTGAAGAAACCCAGCATAATTATAAATCAATCGCCAATCGAGCTTAGCATTAAGAAATAGCATAGGAATAGCGCTTATAACCGAAATAAATATATATTTTCCATACTTCTATCTTTCTCCACTTTTTATCCAGTTCTGCTTTTGTGTGGCTTACTTTCCATCTTTCTCTCTATTCTACATATAACTATTATATTTCAATTTCCCCCTCTACCAGTCGTCTGACTATCCGCTTATTTCTTAGACTTTTTGAGATATTTATCATGTCGTAGTGGTAAAAAAATAACAAACAAAAAATATTAAAAAATATTTAAAAATAAATAAAGCTATGATAGATATTTCCACTCCTAACTTGACTATGAATTGTGATTTATGGTTTCAACTTTGTTCCCTAGCTAATTGTTTCGTACTTATGTGTGTATGTAACTCTCTGCCAGACACCTCTAACTGTTGTATTACATATAGACATGTGACGAACCCGAATCCATTAACTATTTTGATATTACTCTAATCCGAATCTTAACTAAACCCCACATCCAACTCCGTATCTCTAAATTCAAACCAAACCAAAAGCGTTGCTGCATTCCAATCTATCCATCTATATCGTAATATCGTAATATCAATTAGAAGGAATTCATCCAATCATCCATACTCACTCAGCCCACTCACCCATTAATCGTTCAACCATCGAGAAGCAAACGAAATAACAAAATGAAAAAAGAAAAGAAAAAAAAGAAAAGAAGAAAAATAAAACAAACTGAAACAAAATATATATACATGTTGTAACATCCATAAAATTACTATATATCTATTGTGAGAGCAACAAAAAAAGTTCTGGACTATATAACTTGATAAACAAAAGCAACTTTCATTTTGAATGCATAAACCAAAAGTGAAAATAACCAACTGACATTACAGATGGCCGGGCACCCAACCCCAGAAACCCAGAAAACCCTAAAAACCACCCTAAATGAAGGGGCGAAAAAAAAGAGTAATAACATCAAAGAAAATGAGTGCAATTGTGTCACAATTAAGAAAATTGCCTTCGACCATTCGCCAATTTCAGCCAATTTGGGGACATTCTTTTCTTGCAAAGGATATTCCAAGATTTTTTAAAAGCAATTATCTATAATTCGGGTATATAGTTTTGTATGTTTTTCTACAATGTTATAAAAATATTTAATTATAGATAAAAGAATAACCATTATGAAATATTTTAATTAGCCTTTAAAAATAAATATAAGAAATAGTACAAAAATCTTATTTTAATACTAAGGCAATTTTCTGAAATTGTCCATATTATTTACGTTCACTCACGGAGTTGGGTGTCCGGGTTCAGGTCGAAACTCACCTCAGTTGCGCGCGCTATTCGAAAGTCAATGCCCAATCTCACCACTCTCCACATCGTCGTTACAGGGCGCCGGCTGTACGGCTCTACTAGTGGCCGTAGTTTCCCGGAAACTGGAGCTGACCCGTGCCGAGAAGCATGTGCACAACTTCATGATGGACACGCAGTTGACCAAACGGGTATTGATCGTGTTCCAAGTGTTCTCAAGTCTCTGATATGATCTGATTCGATGATTCGACCGACTGACCAAACCGGAGATACTATCGTACCACATATATATAATCCACAAAAAAAAAAAAAAAACATATACCATGTACATACCATGTATATCCATATTGCATTCTAATTACTTTGTATACCGTTTCTTCTTTGGACCAAAATTTAGCTGAAAAATGCTGCGGCGAATGTTCTGCGTGAAACTTGGCTCATTTACAAACATACAAGACTAGTAAAACGGGTTAATCCCGGCCGTGTAAGAACCCACCAAAGAAAGTTCCTTCTAGCTATATATGCGTGAGTATTTTTAGAGATCTATCAACAACCAATCAACCAACCAAACAACTAACCAAACCAAACCAACCAACAACTAAGAAAAAAAATACGTATGAAAAAAAAAGATAATAACTAAAATTCAAAAAGAGTGCCCAATGAAAATGATATCAGATCGAAATAGTAGTTTATCGGGTCTTTGGGGAAATCATCGACCGTTGATGTTCGTTGTTTATGTTCTGTCTCTCTATCTATTTTCGTGAAACTAACTCTCATTTGTCTGTACCCTATATGTTTGTCGGATTAGTTAAAAGACAAAAGAAAAAGAAATATGTACATCAGTTCCCTGGTTCGTAATACTAACTCTGTCCTGTTTTCCCGTCCCGAAGACCCATTTCATAATTAGAATCGAATCAAAATCAAAATCAAAATCAAAATCATCCTTGTGCCCATCAATCGTAGAAAAGCTTTTGGGAAAGCCATTCATCAGATATCTGTATATACATCCGTAAACATACGTAAAGGAAGTATAATCTAAACGAAAAGCCAAAAACGAACTAACCAAAATACTAAAAACGATAATTACCAAGTACTAAACTGAAATGTGGAAACCACAAATGATTGAACTCGTTTTACTAGCCTGTAAATAGGTTGTAAAGCCCTGTTTTTACGTTATGCAATAACCGAGACTAGCCACATAACCTAGCATGCTGCGTTAAATATTCTAGAATCTCGTATCTAAAACTATCGCAATATCATCTGTGCTTTTGCCTAGTGCCCATATCATCATATCATCATATATCATTTACTTACTAACCGCTAAAGGAGGTCGGAAGAAGATCAAAATGCCATCACAGCATTCCATTGCATTCGTAACACCCGATTCTTGTACTCTGTCCAAAACTTCTGATCCCGTCCCATTGAATCCTGTGTATCGTCCTAGTTCCATCCATGTATTTCGCCCGGGGATTTGCTCAGGGATCAGCCGAATGATATGGTGATACTTTCACGATACGATTTTCTGCAATTTTAACGCCCGAAAAGAAATATGGAATTTTTTTACCTACTTACTCCTGTATAATCTTTCTATTAACTACGGCACAACGAATAAAATACACACCAACAAAATAATAATAATCAAATAAATAACATTTTCAGTGAATCTTAGCAGTGTGATTCGAAACTGTGAGGGAAAATAAAATTAAAGGTTTAATATCGACTCGATATTTTCATATCGCATCTCTAAAAGTTTCGAACCACACTGTTACGCTTTTGTCCGATATGTTGACCATATTCTATTTGAGTGATATTTCTGGATGGAAAAGCGAGTTTTCGGCTAGACGGAACTAACAATCTTTTCCACCTACAAAATTGAATGGTGTGCGGGTGTGAGAAAAAGCCCAATTAATTTTTATGCGCTTAGTATTATGTGTTGGCGATCTATGCTATTGTATTTAAATAATTTTCTCTGTAATATTGATGATTCTTCCGCTGCGATGCAGGTTGCGAAAAGTTAAAATGGATCAGCGCAAACTAATGGATAATGCAAACACAATAACTGACATGGCCAAGGTAGTTGGAAAACAGAAGAAACTACAATCGAACTTCGATAGAACTTACTTTAAAATAACTGTATTGATCGATATTTTAATTTTTGCTTTGAAAGCAAGAAGTTTCGAATTTTATCGATAAGCAGCTGATAATTGATAACAGTTTATTTCAGTTTAGTTGATTAATCGAAGTTCGATTGTATTGCATTAATAGAATACACTTGAATTGTGAATGAGCCGATGTGCAATGCATGTTTGTGATTGTGTGAATACCATTCGCAGACACAAAACACGGTCTACGAGATAATATCGGACATGTCTAGCCGTCAGGATGCCATCGAGGAGCGCCTAACCAACCTGGAGGACAAAATGCAGAGCATACAAGTATGACAAACAATCGTTGGTGGTGTAGTTCAGTGGTGATTTACTAAAGCCCCTCTGTCCCCCCTTGTTTGAATATTTGCCTGCAGGAGCACATGGAAAGCCTTCCAGACCTATTGTCTCGATGTCTGACCCAGCACCAGGAGCGGATCGAGCAGCGGCGGAACTTTTTACATCCTGACACAGCTGCAGTGGCCCCCATTCAGGCGCCAACGCCCCAATCGATGTTCAATGCGGCGCCCATGCTGTTCCCCCATTCTAGGTGAGTCGCCCCCTTTCCTTCGCCTCTTTCTGTCTCTGTCTCCGTCTCTGTCTCTTTTCTGTGTCTGTCTCTGTCTATCTCTATATATGTCTATGAGCCATGCCCATTATCCTCATCCAAAACACACACACATATGTCTTTATCATTAAAGCGAGATTTGTGCCTGTCATTTCAATTTGTTTTTCCTCGTTTGTCTGTGAGTCGTTTGTCTCCTTGCCGCGAATATCGGGGTCCCCAGAACCCCACGAACCCCAAGAACCCCCCGAACCCCGAAAACATCCATCCAGCCATTCTGTCATCTTGCGTACCCATTTGTAAATATATATTCCGTAGTTGTCCATTGCACACCACACTTGATTCCTCCAAATTATAAACCCAAATCCCTGTGGCTACCCGAAAAAAATATACTCCGTCTTCTATGCAAGATTCAAGTGATTTAAGACTGTGATTGAGGAAATTATAGTTTGTATTTTGAATATAAAAAAAAGGTTCATTGAAAAAAACTAGTCCGTTCCTATTTTTCTTGGAGCTATAGCTTATAATTTATTAACTAATTGGCTCTTCTTTAGTTTAAAAACAAAAAGATTCTATCTTTGGACGAACAATTACTTTAGGGCTTTCTATTTACAATATACTATTTATATTTTTTCTTTATTAACTCTTCATGGCTTTCCATCGCTCCGACATTTCATGATTTGCATCAAATCAAAACATCGCCATTAAACTAAAAACCAAAGAAAAAACAGAAAGAAAAATTTGATTTATTTTTGAAAGCGTACTTGATAACGACAATTAACATACTGCTTTTTGCATAGAAGTGTTCCCTCATCCAATAACGCCGCTGCTACTTACCATTGGCCAACAAGCCCTATTTTGCCACCTATATCTAGTAGAACACCACATTTAGTGCCTGATACTCACATGCCATCAAATGGATCTGCAGTTAATAGCTACGCATCTTCCAACAAATACGGCAGCTGAATATCAGAAAGAGAGCGCTCCAACTCCGTGATTAACATCGAGATGCTAACAATAAGGCCGGATCGATGCTGGCCAACATCCTCATCAACATCAACATCAAACGCACCCCAGAAATCAGCATTACCATCAACATCAACATCAATGTCTACGTCAAAGGCAAAGTCTAAACCCGAATTCGAAATGGCCGAGACAGCGCTCAGGCAACGTGTGCTATCGCCGTCGTTATCGTTATTGAAATCATCGTCACAAGACCGCAATTTGCATCAAATAAGTGGGCGGCAAATGGAAATGGAAATGGCAATGGAAAGAGAGATAGTACCAATATCAATACCAATACCAGTGATACCCGAAGATGCCGAATCGAATACGAATAGCAACAGTTCGCCCGATCAGCAAAATGTGCAGATAAGTACAGTACCGCCATCGAGTTCAACGCCTGCTTTCGGAACTAGCGGTGCAACTAGCGATGGCATTGTCAAATCGATAACGATGAACGAACCGATGACGACGGAGAGCGGCAAACCGATTGCCTCGAATAAGTTTACTAGGAAAAGAGAACGTGTATGCAATAATAGTAGTTAATAGTGCTAGGCTATAGTGATAGTAATAATAGAGGTAATAGTAATATTAGTAATTCTACAAGTCGAATTTCGAACTCGGCCTTTTGTAAATAAGCCTCTTCGAGATGAGAAAAAAAGTCAAATGTTAGCATATACATATAATATACATAAAACCACCCACACACACACACTTCCTATATATCTGTATAACTGTATGGATGTATAGCACTCCCCGAAAACGGAAAAAGAAAACCCCTTAAAAATATCCCAAAACAAGAAAACCAAAAAACAATAACAGAAAACCAAACAGAATATATGTATACATATATATACAATTGTGTAAATTTTTTTTTCTAAGTTTTAGGCTAATTGTATTTGTAATATTTCACCTTGGGCCAAGGCAGCCTGTACTTGCATACTAAAATTCATATACCATAACATAGCATAGAGTGTGTGTGCATGTGTGAATGCGAGTGTACAGGGCGAGAATGGAGAGTAGAAGGTAAGGTCATAGGACATACAAACATATATAGATCGTAGGACACCAGCATGTACGAGTAGAATCGAAGTATATAAACGAATTACGCTCAGCAAGGCAGAAATAGCAATAGTAAACCTGGAAAATCTGGCACCGTCAGTATATCCCTTGTAGAACCGCAATCCTAACTCAAATGGGCCAACGAGATCCCCTGCTGCCCGTTGCACTTTCCTTTCCGTTGCATATCCAACAACCAACCAGCAATACATCCACAAACATGGCAAATTCTAGTGTCCGTCTGTCTCAAATTTGTGTGTAAATATATATGCATATATAGCAGTATATATATATGTATCCGAAGGATGTGTGTCTGACCTGACTGTGTGTAACCCATGCGACCCATACAAACCACCACCCCCAACAATTATATGAAAAACGAAGAAGAAAAAACAAAAACCCCAAACCCAGAACAATGAAAAACTATCTAACTGTAAAATGTATGTTACGAGATTTAGAAAAAACAGCGAAACCAGAAAACCAAATACTAAGAGATATAAACTAAAGCCGAATAAAAGAAAAACTGTGGAAAAAACGCAAAAACCGAGGATAAAGAAAAACTTACACACAAAAATGAGAGTTCTTACTTAACATCTACTAGCTCTGGCTTTAACTAAACTTACGAAACATGTTTAAAGGAAACAAGTTTGTTGTTGTCTTCTTTTTCTACGCATATATTACAATATATATAGTATATATACATATATATTTTCGTTGTTGTTGTTTTTGGCCTATTCTTTTCTACCAAGAATTATGAACTCAATTAAGAACCTGAATAGCTTTCGAAGGAAATTGAAGATGAAGACGATGATGATGATGATGATATAATGATATAGTAGCGTAGACAAAACCAAGAAACAAATGATATGAAATCGAAAAACGAACTATTTAGTATAGTCTACATACTAAAGTGAACAATTTTAATTGCAATTTTGTAACATATTAAAAGTAATTCGCATTAATTTACAAAAACTAGCTGGTAAATGTGTAACAACGGAACAAACTACAAGCTCCAGATGGAAAATAATAGAACCGAAATGGGGAGAAGCGAATTGAAATTGAATTGAAATTGAAGTGGAGGTGGAACTGGAAATGGAAATGGAAATGAGTAGAGCAGATTAGTGTAGACATAATAGCAGAAGTGGCCGAGCTACGTAAAGATTTTCTAAAGATTCTAAGAGGAACATTATATATACTATATACTTACTATAAAGTATTAACTGAGAGCATCGAAGTTATTTAAAACCAAATGAAAAACGAATGCAAAAAGAAAAAGCAAGCAATTAGGTAATATGCAACCTTCTAACGCTTTGTTAGGATCCCATCCCAAATGGAAGGCAAAAGAGATATACAACTGAATTCCCCGAATAGTGCCCCCACCTCCCCAGAATCTCCCGTTCCCATCACCCCAACCAAAAATCCCCCAAAGTCAGCAAGACAGACTCTGCATATTATTATACAGAACCAGGGCCAGAAAGGATCAAAATATCTGTAAACTATAGATTATATAGCCGTAGGATTCAGTCCACTTAAGCCAACTAATAAAAGTATAGAAGTTTTGCCACACTGATTTACCACATCTCCAAAACCCCTGGCTTCAGTTTGTTTCTATGAAAATTAAAACCCCACAACCATAAAGTTTCCCAATTGTCTGATAGATCTTAACTTATATACATACAATGAAAATCCCAGACCAGCAAAGGAGTCAAAGGAGAACAAACAACAAACAAGAAACAAACAAACCAACTAAATGAACCCTTAAACAAATGTGTGTATACCTATTTATAATATTGAATATTTAAATTGAAAAGAACGTTCAAGACTGCTGTCAAAATAGCTTTATCACAATAAATAACAAAGATCTACACAAGACGACACACACCAAACAGAACAGAACAGAACAGATCAGAACAACAATACTAAACTGATCGATAAGTATCGTTTATCGAATCGGAACAGACACCTAAAGATACACACAACACACAGATTCTGATACGAGATATGGAATGCGCCCAGCTTTAACGTTATGTATTCGTGCATATTTGGGTTTCAACTCTACAACAACTTAAAACGAATACGCAAAAGAATACTGAACAAAGATCGATATACGATTAACGATTAACAATTAACGATATACGAATCAAATCAAATCGAATTGAATTGAATAATTGGTACAAGATCAAATTCCCGTTTGAACTGGTTTCCTAAGCCCCACAAAATACCTTTAAACACGAGATAAAAACCAAAAACTTTGATATGAGGGACCGAATTTCCAAAGACAGGTCTTTATTATACAAAAAACCGAACAACCTAAAACCAAAAGCAAAAGCAAACCAACTAACGAAGAATTCCTACAAAAAAAAACAAAACCCATAACAGTAACAATTTATAATACCGAAGATTTTTAGCCGCTTTTGAGCTGGATTATGAAAAGAAAAAGGAATAGAAAAAGGAAAAGAGAAAAACACAAATAAGGATCGTATTGCACAATGTCCTTGGTTGACTTCCGTAACATCATATAGACACAGGTCCGAGTCCCACGTCCAGTTTTAGTGTGTATTGTGTATTTCCGTTCACCTTAATCAGAATTGAATCGAAAAATATATCAACTTTCTTTTCTTCAGCGAATCATAGAGCTCAAGGGGTACTTCGAGAATCACGCTTCAACCGAAACTCTTCTAGCCAAACCAGGTCCAATAGAACTTACATACATATAGCCCAGCCAATGCCAATGCTACAAACCAAAAAAAAAAATGGATTCGAGTTTTCGAAAACGTATCGAACCGGATTATGACGAAAAGGGCAGCCATTTTGGTGAATTTACACGCTAGGAACTAGAAAAGGGTCCTCCCAAACACCAAATACCCCCCAAACTCCATAACCCCTCCCCCTCCCCCACCCCCTGTGCGCCCAACTAGATCGAGGTATGCAAAATATATAAGGTTACATATACAATATCTAGATATACAACACACATATACTCGTATATACATGTACAGACGGTCTATGAGGTATATACCAAACCCAAGAAAGCCCAAAAACCAAAAACCCCACACTAATAAGATCATATTTGACTTTATATGTATTATAGTAATGTATTCAGTAGCTAAATCGAAAGCCGAAGCAAAGACCAATTTATTAACAACAAACTAATAAGATAACCCCCAAAATGGAAAACAATTATTATGTTAAATTAAACCATTAAAATCTAAGAGGGAGGCAAAACAATTTTTTTATTGAAAAAAAAAAACAAGAAAAACAAAACAAAAGAAAACAAAGTAAACTAGAATGCATTGCATGAATTAAATAAAGAGAAAAAAACTAATAGAAACCCAAAACTTAACTAACGAAGGTCAACTAAAACTAAACTTAAACTTAACCTACTCTAATGCTAAAATTGAAGTAAAATTAACTTAAAACCACTAAAAGGAAAAAAGATTTAATTTCTAAAAGAAATAAAGTAAGAAACTAAAACAAAGTAAACAGAAAAAAATTCAGTGGCTAATGAAATAGTTTATTTTGAATTTACTGTATTGTATATTTAAATTTAAACAAAAAAGGGAAACCCCAAACAAAATATATTGTTATATCTTATCGAGGAACCGTGTTTTGCAAAAGCTTTAATATTTAGGGTGCCTACATTTGCTAAATTAGTATTTTACGATTTAAAACTTAAAGAAAAAACAAAACAAATACTAAAACCAACACCTACATACACGAAATAGTATAAAGCTTGATTGAAAAACGAACCCAAAAAGTTAGGAACGTGAATTTCCAAAACGATTACACTGAACAAAAAGAAAACCGAAACCAAAACAAATTAAGAACAACTAACAGCTAAAGCAAATATTGTATTTGTATTTGAGATATGAATTTTAAGAATGTTTATTAGACTTACGGTTGGTTATTTTGTATACATATATATATTATATGTATTATGTATGTAGTATAAACTGATCTGATCTGACGACGATTGTAATTGTTTTTTTTTTTGCTCATTAAGCATTTACCTCATAAGAATTCCCACTATTTATAGCAAATTTACCATATTACATAAAATCAATTGCTGTACTGTTATAATGTACAACCCCAAGGAAACGATATGTAGGACGAGGAAGAACCATAACAAGAGAGAGAAATCGATAAAAGTCGAGGGGCAAGAGGAAAACTCATAAAACTGTAAATTATTAATTAATGAAGAAAAAACCAAAGAGAATAATTGAAATTTTAACAATAATAAAGGGCTTTGTATGAAAGAAAAACAAACAAAAACTGAATAAAAATGAAATAAAAGTAACAATTGAGAATGTCTTTATTTAATTGGTGGAATGGGATTTTGGTGGAAACATGAAGATTACTCACAGATAAATGACAATAGATTTTCAGAACTTTGGTATGTCGTTACCAGTTTTTTAATTCGTTTTAATTCGATCTTGTAATTTATAGAAAAAGGCAGGCTTCGGTAAAACCATCAGTATTTACTTAAACATCACATATGTAACATTGCTAGCATAACCAAAATTTGTATAATATTTTGTAAAAGAAATTCCCAAAATTTAAAGATATATCTTTTCCGCTAAATTTCATATACCTATACTGTAGTTAATCTGTGCCATGGGAGACCCTCATGTGAAGCCCTATTCGAAGGCGGAGGCCAAGGCCCTTAAGAAGTTCATGAGGATTTACAAGAAGACTCGTGCCAACATGGACGACGAAGAGGTCAAGAGAACGGGGGAAAATGCCTGGGGGAAGCTAACGCCCCATCAGAAAAAGATATTTGAAGTGAGTTTTTGTCACTGGATTAACCACAGAGTTTATATAGGCAGTTATGCAGGTGAGGCCAAGAGTTACTATCCGTAATCAGGACAAGAGGAATCCCACGGTTAGGGCCAGCAAAACTGTGCCAAGTCCCAAGATGAGTTTGCAAAAGGCCGCCAGGAGTTGGTCAAAACTCACAAAACAAGAGAAAGATCAATTTCGTAAGGTAGTAAGTGTTTCATTTGTATGATTTTTATTTCGTTAAATATTCCAAAATTTATTAAAATATTTTAAAGGCTGCAACAAGGAAACAGAAAGTGGCAGAGGATCTTTGAAACTATGGGCTATGATTAATTGAAGATCCAGAAATATTATTATTATGTAAATGATTAAATATTTTGATACTACTTTCAAAAATAATATGTAACTATTAATAACAATCCAAATATTTAGTAAATGTTTAATCGAACTTAATGTTAAAATATATTATATTTAAAGGAATTTCATGGACTATTATTATCAATCTTATTGATAATACTTTGATAGTTGATGATGATCCTTAAAAGGTATAAATAAAACACCAATTCACATTTCTTTAATAACAATAATTTATTTTTTTCTGCTCAATATTATCACTTTTATAAATAAAGTTTGTACAAACATACATACATAGAATAACAAAAAAAAAGGTATTTATATTTTTATAGATGCGATATATTCGGTCGAAGGATTGCTTCGCATTTGTGATGGCTTCATAGAGGCTGACAATGGCGTATATGTACGTATAAATAACAAGTGGTTATGGTTAATCGTAATCTCTGATATCCCCGTGATATCCCCATCTCTGCTCCCCGCTCTATATACATGGTCTTCTACTTGTTGCTGCCGCAGAAATTTGTCAGTTTCCGCCAGAAGAAGCCGAGTTTGGACGTCTCCTTCTGCGCGGCTCTTTGGGCGGCCTTCTGGTTCTTAAAGATCACCCATTCTCGCTTTATATCTGGATTCGCAGGGCCCCATCGATCACTGGGCTTCAGCGAGGCCTTGAAGGACTGTAATTAAATGGGATATATTATAAACTAACTTATGAAATGGATCTTATTATCAATGATTTGTGCTACTGAAATATTTTCATTAAATTTTTAGATACTTATTGTACCAAAATCTTCTCAAATATTTTGATAATATATGATCATACCGTCCAGAAGGTGCCCTGTGAATGACGGGTGATATACCAAAGGCCCCATAGTGGAAACTGGGCAGCTCCGATGGCAAACAACAGCCAGCCTGCAACTGAAATTAAAACAAAAAAAAAACAATTTTAACTCCAATCCAATTACTTAATTCCGAAATACCAACTTACCATTGGCGGCTTCAGGGAAATATAGATCGCTGTATTTGATTGGCTCGATGGTGGCCATCGAGTAGATGAATATAATGATCATCATGACCGGCGTGAAGAAGGACCAGCACATCCGCCAGTACAGTGAAACCCGACGATTGCACATGAACTCGATGTCATCACAGAAATTTTGCAGACCTATAAGGATTTTCATTAGATCAACGGAAGTGATGAATGTTGGAGTGTTAATTGTGCACTCACCATAAACCCACACGATTCCAGCCAGTTCGAAAATGGCCAGAATAAAGACCACATAGGTTCCGCCATAGAAATCCACCAAAGTGAGGATCCACTGACCTCCCTAAAAAGTTAAAAATCAAATATATTAAAAAAATTAAATTTAAAAAAATTTTAAACTCAGTTTTAAAGTAGAAAAATTACTAAAAACTAGGCAACCTACCGGCGTTACGTAGACCAGACCCATGAGGAACCCGCACACAGAGGTGGCCAGCGCCACCTTCCAGTATTTCCAGCCCTTGAACTGGTCACAAATGATGGTCACAATCGTGCTCTGCAGGGCCACAATCGAACCGATTCCCAGGACGAAGAGCATGAAGAAGAATAGAACCGAGAAGAGCTGCGGAACCGCCTGGAATTTCGAGATGGCATCCGGATACGAGATGAAGGCCAATCCCGTTCCACTTCGCACCACATCCCGGATATTCTCGATCTGCAGATTGTGCGCCAGATTGCCCAATATCGCAAATATCGTTATCCCGCCCAGCAGACTGGTCAAGGTGTCCAGAGTGGTCACGATCATGGCATCCCTGTAGATCCCGTGATCGAATCGATTGTAGGAGGCGAACATGATGATGGGTCCAGAGCCAACAGCCAGAGAGAAGAAGCACTGCACGACGGCCTCCTTCCAAACGGTGGGGTTCAACAGTTCACCCCACTGGGGCTCCAGAAAGAAGAGGATGCCATCGCGGGCTCCCTCCAAGGTCACCGCCCTGATCAGAAGGACGAAGAGCACCACGTACGGAAAAAGGGCCAAGAAGTAGGCCGCCTTGCCGGAACTCTTCACCCCGCGCATGATCACCAGGAAGATCACCACCCAGGAGACGAACAGGGCCAGGGTCAGCTTCCAATCGGGGTCACCAACGCCGTCCGAAATGTCCAGCTTCTCCTTGATCACTACATCCCTAAAGAGGAAGAAAAAAACAAAAAAATAAAATTTTCGCCAATTTTTAATTTTTTTTTAAGGGGGTACCCCATGATTTTTTTCGAAAAATTAAAAATAAATAAAAAGTTTAATGTTTAAATGCCAATCGTTAGGAAATTTAATAACGAGTTCAGAAAGGTATGACAATCCATACTTTGAATCAGTATTTGCTTTGTTATAGCGAAAAAACGGCAACGTTTTAGCGAAAAAACGGGTTTGGTTTTTTTTTGGAAATTCGCGATTTCAGTTTTTGACAAAAATTGGAATTTTTTCTTTTGGTTTTTTGGTGTAACTTGGCCAAAAATGGTCCTACACCAAAAATTCATACTGTTTTGAACAGATAACAAAATTTGCTATAAATCCATAAAACTTTCCGTGTAATTTTGAAAAAATAAAATTTTCGCCAATTTTTAATTTTTTTATAAGGGGGTACCCCATGATTTTTTGCGAAAAATTAAAAATAAATAAATTGTCAAGGTTTAAATGCCAATCGTTAGGAAATGTAATAACGAGTTCAGAAAGGTATGACAATCCATACTTTGAATCAGTATTTGCTTTGTTATAGCGAAAAAACTGCAACGTTTTAGCGAAAAAACGGGTTTGGTTTTTTTTTGGAAATTCGCGATTTCAATTTTTGACAAAAATTGGAATTTTTCCTTTTGGTTTTTTTGCTGTAACTTGGCCAAAAATGGTCCTACACCAAAAATTCATACTGTTTTGAACAGATAACAAAATTTGCTATAAATCCATAAAACTTTCCGTGTAATTTTGGAAAAATAAAATTTTCGCCAATTTTTAATTTTTTTATAAGGGGGTACCCCATGATTTTTTGCGAAAAATTAAAAATGAATAAATTGTCAGGGTTTAAATGCCAATCGTTAGGAAATTTAATAATGAGTTCAGAAAGGTATGACAATCCATACTTTGAATCAGTATTTGCTTTGTTATAGCGAAAAAACTGCAACGTTTTAGCGAAAAAACGGGTTTGGTTTTTTTTTGGAAATTCGCGATTTCAATTTTTGACAAAAATTGGAATTTTTCCTTTTGGTTTTTTTGCTGTAACTTGGCCAAAAATGGTCCTACACCAAAAATACATACTGTTTTGAACAGATAACAAAATTTGCTATAAATCCATAAAACTTTCCGTGTAATTTTGAAAAAATAAAGTTTTCGCCAATTTTTAATTTTTTTATAAGGGGGTACCCCATGATTTTTTGCGAAAAATTAAAAATAAATAAATTGTCAAGGTTTAAATGCCAATCGTTAGGAAATGTAATAACGAGTTCAGAAAGGTATGACAATCCATACTTTGAATCAGTATTTGCTTTGTTATAGCGAAAAAACTGCAACGTTTTAGCGAAAAAACGGGTTTGGTTTTTTTTGGAAATTCGCGATTTCAGTTTTTGACAAAAATTGGAATTTTTTCTTTTGGTTTTTTGGTGTAACTTGGCCAAAAATGGTCCTACACCAAAAATTCATACTGTTTTGAACAGATAACAAAATTTGCTATAAATCCATAAAACTTTCCGTGTAATTTTGGAAAAATAAAATTTTCGCCAATTTTTAATTTTTTTATAAGGGGGTACCCCATGATTTTTTGCGAAAAATTAAAAATGAATAAATTGTCAAGGTTTAAATGCCAATCGTTAGGAAATTTAATAACGAGTTCAGAAAGGTATGACAATCCATACTTTGAATCAGTATTTGCTTTGTTATAGCGAAAAAACTGCAACGTTTTAGCGAAAAAACGGGTTTGGTTTTTTTTGGAAATTCGCGATTTCAATTTTTGACAAAAATTGGAATTTTTCCTTTTGGTTTTTTTGCTGTAACTTGGCCAAAAATGGTCCTACACCAAAAATACATACTGTTTTGAACAGATAACAAAATTTGCTATAAATCCATAAAACTTTCCGTGTAATTTTGGAAAAATAAAATTTTCGCCAATTTTTAATTTTTTTATAAGGGGGTACCCCATGATTTTTTGCGAAAAATTAAAAATGAATAAATTGTCAAGGTTTAAATGCCAATCGTTAGGAAATTTAATAACGAGTTCAGAAAGGTATGACAATCCATACTTTGAATCAGTATTTGCTTTGTTATAGCGAAAAAACTGCAACGTTTTAGCGAAAAAACGGGTTTGGTTTTTTTTTGGAAATTCGCGATTTCAATTTTTGACAAAAATTGGAATTTTTCCTTTTGGTTTTTTTGCTGTAACTTGGCCAAAAATGGTCCTACACCAAAAATACATACTGTTTTGAACAGATAACAAAATTTGCTATAAATCCATAAAACTTTCCGTGTAATTTTGAAAAAATAAAGTTTTCGCCAATTTTTAATTTTTTTATAAGGGGGTACCCCATGATTTTTTGCGAAAAATTAAAAATAAATAAATTGTCAAGGTTTAAATGCCAATCGTTAGGAAATGTAATAACGAGTTCAGAAAGGTATGACAATCCATACTTTGAATCAGTATTTGCTTTGTTATAGCGAAAAAACTGCAACGTTTTAGCGAAAAAACGGGTTTGGTTTTTTTTGGAAATTCGCGATTTCAATTTTTGACAAAAATTGGAATTTTTCCTTTTGGTTTTTTTGCTGTAACTTGGCCAAAAATGGTCCTACACCAAAAATACATACTGTTTTGAACAGATAACAAAATTTGCTATAAATCCATAAAACTTTCCGTGTAATTTTGAAAAAATAAAGTTTTCGCCAATTTTTAATTTTTTTATAAGGGGGTACCCCATGATTTTTTGCGAAAAATTAAAAATAAATAAATTGTCAAGGTTTAAATGCCAATCGTTAGGAAATGTAATAACGAGTTCAGAAAGGTATGACAATCCATACTTTGAATCAGTATTTGCTTTGTTATAGCGAAAAAACTGCAACGTTTTAGCGAAAAAACGGGTTTGGTTTTTTTTTGGAAATTCGCGATTTCAGTTTTTGACAAAAATTGGAATTTTTTCTTTTGGTTTTTTGGTGTAACTTGGCCAAAAATGGTCCTACACCAAAAATTCATACTGTTTTGAACAGATAACAAAATTTGCTATAAATCCATAAAACTTTCCGTGTAATTTTGGAAAAATAAAATTTTCGCCAATTTTTAATTTTTTTATAAGGGGGTACCCCATGATTTTTTGCGAAAAATTAAAAATGAATAAATTGTCAAGGTTTAAATGCCAATCGTTAGGAAATTTAATAACGAGTTCAGAAAGGTATGACAATCCATACTTTGAATCAGTATTTGCTTTGTTATAGCGAAAAAACTGCAACGTTTTAGCGAAAAAACGGGTTTGGTTTTTTTTTGGAAATTCGCGATTTCAATTTTTGACAAAAATTGGAATTTTTCCTTTTGGTTTTTTTGCTGTAACTTGGCCAAAAATGGTCCTACACCAAAAATACATACTGTTTTGAACAGATAACAAAATTTGCTATAAATCCATAAAACTTTCCGTGTAATTTTGGAAAAATAAAATTTTCGCCAATTTTTAATTTTTTTATAAGGGGGTACCCCATGATTTTTTGCGAAAAATTAAAAATGAATAAATTGTCAAGGTTTAAATGCCAATCGTTAGGAAATTTAATAACGAGTTCAGAAAGGTATGACAATCCATACTTTGAATCAGTATTTGCTTTGTTATAGCGAAAAAACTGCAACGTTTTAGCGAAAAAACGGGTTTGTTTTTTTTTTGGAAATTCGCGATTTCAATTTTTGACAAAAATTGGAATTTTTCCTTTTGGTTTTTTTGCTGTAACTTGGCCAAAAATGGTCCTACACCAAAAATTCATACTGTTTTGAACAGATAACAAAATTTGCTATAAATCCATAAAACTTTCCGTGTAATTTTGAAAAAATAAAATTTTCGCCAATTTTTAATTTTTTTATAAGGGGGTACCCCATGATTTTTTTCGAAAAATTAAAAATAAATAAAAAGTTTAATGTTTAAATGCCAATCGATGGGAAATTTAATAAAGAGTTCAGAAAGGTATGACAATCCATACTTTAAATCAGTATTTTTTTTGTTTTAACGAAAAAACTGCTTTGTTTTTTTTTTTTTTTTTGGAAATTCGAGAATTAAGTTTTTGACAAAAATGTGAATTTTTTCTTTTGGTGTAACTCGGCCAAAAATGGTCCTACACCGAAAATACATACAGCTTTGAACAGATAACAAAATAATAAATAAATCCATGACACTTTCCGTGTGATTTTGGAAAAATTAAATTTTCGCCAATTTGCAATTTTTTTATAAGGTAACGTCATGAAAATTGGGATCTGGGTTTTTGGATTTTTCTCTTGTTTTTTCTTTAAAAAAACATACTGTTCTGAACAGCTAACAACCTAAACTAACGATTCCCTTCACTTTCTTGGAAATTTATTTTATGAATAATTTTCTCTTTTTTGCGAAAAATGGTATACTCAGCAAAATGCTGATTTTTAAAGCGGGAAAAAATAATGTTGACTTCTAAATATTTTTCCTACATTTTTTGCTGTATAACATAAAAATAATCTTTGTTTTTTATTAACTGTTAAAACTACTAAACTATTATTCTCAGTAAATGAAATTGTTCAGGTGCGCCTGCAGAAAAATGTAAGCTAAATTCCCATTTAAAGTTGTCGCTGACTGCATTTAGCACTTAAACAACAAAACAAAACCAAATAAATAATGACAGTGCTAAATAAGTATTTATTGTTTTGCATCACCAGTGAGTTTAATCTGTTCTACAGATAAGTGACTCGCAAATGTGATAATGAAAAAATCAAGCTTACTAGAATAAGGAAGGGAAAATGTTTTAGCTTGTTTTCTTAAGTCTGTGTAGCACAATATTTAATTCGAACCAATAGATGATTAACCCAGTTTGGCCACAAAGTGTGGTTTAGCATTTAAATATTTAATTGCACTTACAGGAAGTAGAGTTCGGAGCTGCTCTGCAGTTTCGTTGCATTGGTTTCGTCCGCTAAGCTACTAATGCTGCTGACGGCTGATTTATTGGCCGAGGACATGCTCGCCAGCAGATTCTCCAAATACTCCTGGGGTCTCGAATTCACGCAGTTGGTCCACTCGTCTCGGCAATAGGACCACGGCAACTCCGATTGGAAGGACACGAAGAGGTAGTAGAGGGTCAGGGCCAGCAGCGAGGAGTAGTACGAGATGATGCAGATGGTGCCGAAGGCCTGGCCATAGCCCACGCCCACAAATCCGGGCACTACCGACCAGATCTTCACGGTTCCCTGACTCGTAAACTGCCCAATGATCATCTCCAAGTAGTACATGGGTTTACCTATGAAAAAAAAAGAGAATTAAAATAAAAATTAAAATTAAATCGAAAGATATTCCCCGCTTACCGATCAGAAAGAGCACTATGATGTAGGGTATCAGGAAGGCACCGCCTCCATTCTCATAGGCCGTGAACGGGAACCTCCAGACATTGCCCAATCCCACGGAAACCGAGATGCAGGACATGAGGAACTCCAGGCCATTGCCCCAATTGGTGCGCTCCACTGTCGCCTTTTCGGCATCTGTTTTCTGGAAATAAACAACGAGTTGGCCATTTTGTGATATCGCAATTCGGGGAATGCAAGATTTAATAGCCCCAAAATAAAACCGAAAAGTATACCAGACACATGACTAAATATTTAAGCATCCATCAGGCCACGAGCCTTGGACTCTTGGACAAACACGAGCACGTCATGCGTGCGGCATTTTCAGATCCAATCCCAGATAACCCATGGTCATGCCAAATTAATGCGCCACCAGACTTCACCTGATAGTGCACATATATGCCCATTATGGAATATTTATCTTAGTGCGCCCAATTATGATTAGATTAGAATCACTTTGAAGTAGACACTCAAGAAAGGCGCCCCAGTTATCGATTTAGTATTATTGGTCTACAAGTACTTAACCATAGTGAGATCTTTAAGTTATTTAGTTAAATGATGATTAATTTCTCGAGCGACATGTGAACATGTAAATTAAGAACCATGAATCATCTCGGTAGTTAGAAAATGCGGGTTCTAAATCGTTGTAGTATCTCCCTAGCCGCCTACAAATTTATATAGAATAGTCATAAAGTCGTTTGACGTTGATTGCCTCAGTTAAATTCTATTAATAACAATTACAAATGAAGTTTATACAACCGATTTAGGGAAAGCGAAATTTACCTAATGCGCAGCTACGAAAAATTCCCCAACTAAACTGATTAATTCATAATGATTCAGTCGATAACTGATCGCATATCTTAACTTTAAATTAGCAAAATACCAGTAATCATTTATATTATTTAAAACCAAGTAAGTCTGGAACTGTTCACACCTTAATTGGAAAATTAAATTCCACTCAGTGACTAATATATGAAAAAGTAATTTGTTTTGGGCATAAAAACCATCTGTCGTTTACAAATAAGGCATGCGAAAATTAACAAAAAAAAAGGGTTTTTTTGTAGAGTAGAAAACAATTACTAAACCATACAATTTCTTAACTAAGAACTTTTAAGGTATTCTGGTATATTTAGTTCTTAAAAAATTATTAAATTGTCCACCAATATAGCCTCAAAATAAAATAAACCTATCTTAAAATCTATCATATAACTTATTATTAAATTGTGACTCTACCATTATTATTTGTAATAATATGATTGCCATTTGGCGAAATCTATTTGCACGGCAGCAGCTGTTGGGTAGCTGGGCTATTGTTTTTTTTTTATTTTTATTATCAGAGAGTTGGGAACGCGAGAACTGTTTTGCCGCTTACATATTTGTACTATTCCGAAAAAGCTGTTTAAATAAAACAATAACTCAGCTGGGGAAGTGAGCGGGTTGCCGTGGGGCGGTAAAAGCCAGCGCAATTACGGAGGTAAATGAAAACGAAACTGCATCATCGAGACATATCTACGAATGGGATATCTATGAAATAGCCGGAGCCCAACTGTTTGCTTATCCATTTTTATCTTTAACGGCAAAAGGTGTTACAATCTTTCCATTACCATTTCATTTTGGATGCCTTACAGAGGTATTTATAAATATATGTATACCCCACAGGCCGATGAACTGATGATAAAAGAAAATCTAATGCATAATTGACTGGGTTTCTCTGCCCTCTGGGAAATTCTAACTTGGGAATTACCTCAATTAAACTTATGCTGACCGCAATTTAATGCCGCTTTGTTTTGGCCTGTCAATGTCAGTTGGTGCGGGGAAACCCTATTATTTAAATCGATTAGTTATATTTAATGATCTGCATTTTGCATGCAATCCAGCTCTGATGACTCTTTCAGGGGGAATACCTTGATTCAGAGATGCACTTGCCATTCAGGTTCCAGATTTTATCTTTTGATTTCAAATCGAGAAATTATTCAAAAACCAATACATTGAGATACAAAGAAGAACATTGGTATTTCAGTTCTTCATATGATAGATTTGTACCCAAAGGATTCCAAGAACTCAAAGCATGATATCTCAATTGCTAACTTTGGAATCGTTTATAAGAACCATAGCCTTTATATCTTTTTTATAAGGCATTGCACTTTCTGGGAAATGCTGTAATATATAATAGAGAAAGAACTTGTCACTTCGTAATACACTTTTATATAGTATTTGCTCGTCGGTTTATGGCTGCTGCAGTGAAAACGGGTTTCCAGCTCTTCGGCCATATAGCACACATATATGGTATATAGTATAGTTTTTGCTGATCTAAAGCGGAGCGCTAGTTGCCCAGATAACTAACGGTTTTAGGGCATTATTGAGCTCTAAATAGAACAAAAGACGTCGTACGTCGGATATTTATGTGGCGCAGGGGATCGTAAAGCGTATAAGATATGCATATAGTATATATATCCGCCTGACAAAGTCTTTTAGCCCCGCTTTTTTTTCGGGGTGGACCGTAAATCGCATTTTCGTTTGTCGGTCGATTGGCCTGCAATTAAGCCCTAACTGCCTTAATGATCACAATGATCATAAAGTCATTCGGCGATTGTAAAGGCCACACTGAGCGAAATGAATGGGCAGGTATGACGAAGGGCAGGCAATCAAAATCATAATTGTGGGCAAAAGTCCAATGGAACTTTATCTATATATTTTTTTTAAATTTTTTTTTGAAATTTTTGTGTACCATGGGGCGTATACTTAATTTACGAACTGTTGGCCATTCTGTTTCTAATCTGATATTCTAACCACTTGAGTTCTTCGAGTGCCACTCGAAAGCAATTCCATTAGGGATGTTATTAGTTCCTTGATTTTTTTCATCACTTACTTCCGGCGATCCGTTGGCGGTGTTTCCATTTGCGGAGCCATTCGACGGCTGAACTCCTTTCAACTCCATTTTCGTTTCCAGTTAAAAAACGAATTTACTCGATGGATGGTTATTTGCGTTTTGCTGTTTAATTGCTGGTTTTTTCGCTTCTATAATTAGCACATTGCATTGACCAGCCCTTGGTTATGGTTGGTTTGGCAACTCCAACTGCAGTTTCGTATTTGTTGGCTTTTCAATTTAATTTTCTGGGCTGGAGGCGCGCTTGTGGTGCCGTGAATGCCGCGGCTGGAACTGAGAATTATACGAGTGCTGGCCGCTTTAAGAACCTCCAAAGTCAAGCAGCGTTTTTTGCTTTTGCCAGCGCTCAGCAGGTAATAAGCGTGAAATTATTCGCATACACTCACACTCGCTTAGAGAAAACCCACGGCAGTACCTCTGTACCAGGTAATACACTTTCAAAGGGGGGGGAGGTGGAAACTTTGGTGTCGTGCTCTCGTGTGCTCTTCGTTAAGCGATCGCAGATCGGCCAGAACGGGGGTTCCGATTCTCGGATAAGGAAGTACCCACCGAAAGGCAAAATAAATCCGCACGGAATACCTTAAAATATATGAAAGAGTTGCACTTGGAAAAAATAATAACTATATGAAGATCAGGGCATACAAATTAAGATGACATCGCAAATTTATAACTATTATAGATTTTTTATATATTTAAGATATTTTCCTTTTTAAAAATAAAAAGGTTTTCAGAAACTCTGATGATAGAAAATCATTCAACAGATCATATTAATAATTAAAATGGATTATCCTTTACCCAGCAAAATTGATACTTTGATAATACTATAAACTCCACTTACTTGTAAGGCTTTCATATTCAGAAGTTTAAGTACTCAAAACAACTGCCAAAGTACAGGTAAATAAGTCATTAGGGAAAAGTTTTTACATTTCTTAATTAACTTTTGGCGTGCCATTCATATTACCTCAGAGATAAAGCTGGGAATTCCATTTTGCAACTTGAAAAGCAACTGCTAATAAGTTATATCAGTTTCTTAAAGGTTTTTTCTGGGTGTAAGGCAACCCCGAATCAGTAACCCCCAAAGATGAAAGATAAGACAGCAGATACCCCAATACGAAGGTAGATAAAACCGTGCGGAAACATAGATTCACCACGGCAAATAGACTGGGGCAACGTAGCCAGGGCCCACTGTCCGCGAACTCTGGGCTTAGATAAAAACCGGCAGGCCAATATAGGCCCTAAAACGGTCAGCAGTAGTAAATACCTCCCGATAGACGGACCTGCAGACGCAGACACAGTAAAACCACTTTACGAACTTATCCGAACCGAACCGGCCGGTAGTGACTGGCCACTTTCGATATAGATTAAGCGACCGGCGGAGAAATCACCCCGAAATGACCAATCAAAAAACAAGAAAAACAGAACTGCAGACAAAACCAATTAGGAATCGATAATCGTAGGGGTAATTAGAGCAGCACAACGTACTTATAGATTCGCAGGAATTCCAATCGTTGGTCAATGAAAGTTTTACGAGATCCTCGGATCCGCAGACCGGACCTCACCGGTTCTAAGGTTTGTAGTCTTTGGCCCTCTTGTTCCAAGTTCGATATCGCACTAGCAATCGTTTGATATCCCTCAAGATACATATATCACGAGGGCAATTCCATTTGATCAATTGCATTGAATCATGGGGATCGCAAACCATATCGGAGACTAGGACGCGATGACTTCGACTTCCTTATCGGGCGCCACAACGTCAATCCGACTTTTGGATAAGAACCCTTGACACCGGTCGGGTAAGTACATAAATTATAAAATTAGATTGTACGTTTAGCATTGAAGGTCGTAAAATACAGCGATATGATATACCATTTCCTAGGATAACTCCTTGTATAACTGCTATAAAAACGACTCGTCATCGAAGTGAAAGCGAGAGGAGCTGAAAGAAAAACGTAGGCAGGCCCAAACCCAAGTAAAAACACTTTTTCAACGCACTCAATTCCTTTTCAATAATGTTTTATTTTAATGTACTTGCATTATATTTAGTTAATAACTAGATTTGTAAATTATTCTCACTTTAATGCGTCTATAAATTAAATCTTATTCGTAACTCTTGTCCTCCCAGCATTACTAGATAAGAAAAAAAATAGAAGTACCACACACATACGATGATCTTTAAGGGAGGACACTCTTCTCGCTATCCAACGCTATCCACTAAGATTAGTTTCAATATGTGCTCTACATCATGTCTGTTGTGTTTGCATTTGCATTTGCATTATCTCTATGTCAGTTAATCAGTTATCAGTTAATCAGTTTATCAACAATTGTACAAGTGACAAATCTACAATGAATTCGATAAAACACCGAGAACGTTGACAACTCTGGCGAATACAAATTGAAATTAGACTTTGACCTAGAATAGTGTTTAATGTTTCTCATTTAAAAGTAACCAATAGTATAAGTAGTGTTCCATAGGCTAAAATGTATTTTTCTCTCGAAAGAATTTTCAAAGGCGACACTAAAACAAGGATCCATTAAACGAATTTGCACTAGAGTGTGGAAGGCAGCGGGAGGGGGCGAAGGGGGGAACTTGGGATCTCGAGATCCTCCCATCCCCCCCGCCAAAAACCTCCTTGGCCCCTCCAAAAGTTGATCAAGTCAATAATGTTTTAAGATAACAATAAGAATGAATTACTTTAAATTAGCAAGTAAATGGTAAATTAATTACGCACGAAAGAACTAGAAACAAACAGCAAAAAAAAGGCGTCGTAATAATAATAATAATGATATAATGATAGCGATAATAATAATAGTAGTAAACTATCGTAGAAGAAGAATAACACGCCAAGTCTTTCATGTTGACAAAATAGATAGATATATATGTATATATATATGTGTGTGGATCATCACTTGTACGTTATATTAACTAAGTTATTTATTTATGACGATGACGACAATGAGAACAATGACGACGACTATCAAACTGAATTATGCTCTTTACGATCTTGAAATCTTCATTAATGATTTATATATATTGTTTCCGTTGCTGCCGATCTATTTTCTCAATGTGAAATACATTTTTTGAAAAATAAAACTCTTCTTCTGAACTAAATAAATATGGTTAACATGGTTGGTAGGTTGGTTAGTGTGTTACTGTGTTATTGATGTGTTGTTGTTGTTCTTGTTTTTGCTGTTTTTGTGGTTGTGCTGCATCTTAGAACAATTCTACCTAAAATTGCTGCTAGGCTAGACACCCAGAATTGGTAACTAACTGGTAAGCGATTAGTTTGCAACAATTTCCCTTGCTTGCTTTCAAGAGATAGTTCTCGTTGCATATACAAAATAATTTTGAAAGAAAGGCATTTAGAGGTTTTCACTCCGTTTTTCAATAGGCTAGTTTTGGTAGCAACAATTATTGTTTTTTTTTGTGTTTTTCTTTGCATTTCTTTGTCTGTCAAAATGGATTTTATTTACAATGGGTTGTTGGGGAAAAGTATCCATTCTTTTTTGCTTAATAGGTTTTTCTGTTTTTTTGTTTTTGCTTTGTTTTATGTTTGTTTGTTGACTAACAATGGCACACACGCATATATAGATATTTAGAATTTGTAACGTTAATTTGTCTGTTTTTCAAGTGGTTTTTCATAGTTAGGCATTCTGCGGCTTTAGTGCGGGTGTTGAGGTGAGGTGAGGGGTTGCTTCTCTTCTAGTTTCCCTTTTCTGTTTTCTGTAACTCCATCATCATCTCCATCTTACTTTCAGCTGTTCGAAGTAATCTTGTACTTTTCGCGGTTTGAGTAGTTTCAGTATGAATACAAATTAAACAAAAGATATATAATGCATGTAAATATATAAAATGATCGTTCAGATATTATCAGTTATCAGTTTTAAAAAAGCCTATTATAATATTTACAGATCTCAGCAAACAGCAACATAAAATTAAAATTATATCAGGTTTTTCTCTACTTTTGCCAAGATATATATTGAAATTTGTTTGTTTTTTTTTTGTGGATTTTCTTTGTTTTTGTTTGTTTTGTTTATTTTTCTTTATATCTGATGAACGCTTGATATTTTACGTTTAGTTTATATTTAGTGTATTTTTGTTTTAGCATTTTGTTAAATTTATAAAAACTATTTACACTAGGTAGTACTGGCTACTTATAAACTGAGTATGGTAATATCTTAAGCGGTTCGTTCTCAAGTCCGACAGTTCTAGCCGATCCGTAGGATGCCCGCCCGCCCGTTGGTGCCGCCAAAGTGGTCACAAATCATACCCATCTAGCTGATCTTCCCCCATCCCCCTTTATCCCCCCCATTTTGGTATCCAATCCTGGGCAGTCAACAAACAAACGTTTGCCTGGTTGTGTGTAATGCGTGTGTGTCTGTGGGTTAGTGAGGTGTTAGGTGCTCTTATTCATATATGCGTGTGTGTATTTTGCGATTGGGTGTTGCTTGTTGTTTGTTGTTTGTTATGTAATGATCAAGGGGCTCTCCCCTTCTAGGCTCAGTCGCATTCTACAACTTAACGAACGTGTTTGTTATCTTTTGTTTTGTTTGGGGGCCTCTGCAATTTGGCAGTTCCTTTGCAATCTGCCATCTGCTATATGCTATGTGCTACATGCTATCTGTAAAAGCTGCATCCGCAATCCGTGATCCGAATTCTTCTTCACCTTTTGGAGCCCGCTGCACTAGACTCAAGCATTCCTTTGTTGCACTGCCAAGTTGCTTGATTTGGGTTTGAGTGATTGTTGTTTAAGTTTGCTTTTAGATTTCATATAGTTCTTGGTTACTAGTTGAGTTGTTCACGAAGGCTGTTAGTCACGCATCTCCACCCACTTCGCGAGGTTCCTGGCGACCAGTTCCTTATTGATAAAGATTACATTCTGGAATGAGAAAATCGAGTTAGAAATTGCCTGTTCAATGGGGAATGGCTAAGATATATCAAAAACAATTGATTTAAAAAGTACATATTTTTTTAAACAAAATTATCTGTATGATTTATCGATTTTCAAGATAAATTTAAGCATATTTCAATTTAATTTACACTTAAAAGCAAGCAAACAATTAGGAATTTGAAATAAATGCTTTAAAATAATATTTAAAGAATACTAATCATTAAACAAAATGAAATGGGAATTTTTAACACATGTAATGAAAAGTTCTCAAAATAAAAAACCGCAAAATATTGGTAAAGTTAGCTTAAAATCGGTTTGCCCATTATGTCATGCGCCGTAACCAGCTATCTCCCTCTTTTTCAACATGCCATCTCCCTCTGATCGATGGTCAATACTCACATTGGGACCTAGAGAAGCGAATAAATAGATTTCTGGTATGTTGTGACTATTGTAGCCGGCGACTTGGGCTTGCAAGACAATGCCTTTGGTTAGTTGGTTGAGGATTTCGGCCGCCTCGATGGACCAGGTCTCACCTGCCACGAAAATACAGGGAATACATAATGAGTATCAGAAATAAATCAAGACAATTATAGACAACAAATCTCACTCACCGATGGGCTCAATGTTGGACAGGATGCATTCAGTGGCCTGGAAGGGCACACTCATGAAATCGGTGCGGATCTGGCGCAGTGTGCTGAAGCCGACATTCATGTAGCCACCAAAGTCGAGGAACTTGACCAGGCAACGCTCCTCGTCCTCGGCATCCGTGTCCACGATCTGGACGCGATACCACACCCCATTGATGGGTATCACGCACACGGCACTGATCTCCAAGCTGGGCAGCTGGGGCGACTCCATGTTGGAGTAGCTGTCGTACAGCTGCTTCTGCAGCATGGGCAGCGATGGATGCGAGGGATGCAGCGGGTGCTGGATGAACACATGCGACCCGGAGAGCACCGCACTCACCACCACATCGTTGTTGATGCCCTCGATCAGTTTCAGCTGCGGGGGAGGAGTTAGCCAAGGCATTAGAGATATATATATTGATGGATTGGTTTGGTTTGGATTGGATGGGGACTCGAAATCGAAACGATCCGATTGCGCCGACACGACAGGAACAGTGTTCAACCACTTAGAGAATCACAAAATACTCTCTGCGTATTCATCGGGGATTAAGGAATACTATTGTAAAGTCATCAAATCAAATCAGCCAATCGGCTATAACCATGTCGTGTCGGCGGCATCGTCACCATTGTCAGTGTCATTGTCATCGTCACACCATCACTCACTTGTAGATTGTAGAGGCTTTCGGTCGAAAGAGGAACTATGGTCTGGGGAAGCGCAAAGTGGATGCGTTGCATGGTGAAGTTGGGATACCGCTTGGCCGGCAAACGCTGACGGATCATGGCCAGTGCGGCGTCGATTTCGCTCTCCGTTCCCTCGATGGTGCAGATGCGCACCTTGCCCGAATAGGGATTCTTGCTCAGGGCCACGCTGGCCAGGGTCTTGGCCTTGATTTGGTTAATGAAGGCCCGCTTGCGGCCGTACAGGTGACCGATCAGGCTGATGGGGAAGAGGAACTCGTAGCTGGTCTTCACGCGTGTCGCCTCCGAGCGGGGCAGGCTGGATCCCTTGCCGGAATCGCCCGACTGGACGCTGCAAATGCTCAGCGAGGGGCTGGCCGCGTCCACGTTGCGCTTCTGATTGCCATTGCTGTCCACCAGCTCCTCCTTCAGCACCGTCTGCTCCTGCTCCTGCTCCTGCTCATGCTCCTGCTGCTGTTCCCCAGTGGCCTCCGCCTTGGAGACCTTATCGTTCTCCTTCTCCTTGGGCTCACAGTTATTGTTCTGCTCGCACTCCTCCTTGGTGGTGTAGTTGGTGTCCAGGAACGAGTTCTCCGGCGATATCTTGGGCGTGCGCGTGGCCTTGATCACCACCGGTTCCACTGTCTTTTGGCTGGCCTTGCGATTATAGAAGGACACGCGTGTATTCACCGAATCGGGCAAATCACGCGGCGACGATAGATTCTCGAAATCCTCGTCTATGGAGCACAGTTTCTTGTGCTCGGCATCCTGAATCTTTGACTTTAGCATTTCGGAATCGATCTGCTGCTGATGCTTGCCATTTGAGGAGCGTCCATTGCTCTGGATTTTGATGGGTGCGGATTTGCCATACAACATGGTGGTGGGACTATCCTTTTCATCGCTGCCGCTTCCGCTATTGCTGCCACCGCTTCCACTTCCACTTCCGCTTCCATTGGCTATGGTTCCGTTGATGTTCATCGACTTGCTGGCCGGCTGCTGTGGCAGCTTGCCATTCTGCAGGACTCCATTGGCCTTGCGCGCCTGCACAGTGGGCTCAATCGACGAGTCCTTGACGGCCGATGTGTCCTCGTCATCGGGCTTGTCTAAACGATTTTTATTTCTACGCCGAAACCAAAAGACGCCGAGTATAAATGCTACACCGGGCAGTGAGAGGTAGAGTAGAGGACGACCGGATACCATTTTCGCTGAATATTGAAGGATCTGAAACGATGGATGGTCTTTAGTTAGATGTGTGTTTCTTAAGTAATTTCCCTAGATCTCCAATATCTATTGAAATTTGTATGCTTCTAAATATGTAAATGAGGGGCTTATTCATATGACATTTAAATGGGTTCCTAAGCCAGAATTTTGAATTTTCAATACTCTTGTATATTTTTTAATCCATGAATTGTAGAGCTTGAAAAAATATCGTCAGTTTGCCATTTTTCGATTTATTCTTAAAATATCGATCATTTTCATGTTCTAATGAATAATAAAAGGCGAAATTAAGCAAAACTTAATGAGTAATATATATTTCCTTATGTTTGATTTAAATATTTTCAGTATAGTAATCTTTGCAATCTTAAAAATATATAAAATGTACACATACAACTAGAAATCAAGTAGTTAGTTGTTTAATTTATAAGCAGCAACGATTTATGAATTCTTATCAGGACCACAATTTACAAAATTAAGTAGCGTCGTATATTTATATTTAAAATGCTTGTCATGACAAAAGATAAGAACAAGTACACAAAATCGTATTTTTGTTGAATAACTTTAAAAACTGAATGAATTGGTGTGCATTTAAATAGATACGAAATGAAATGTTTAAATGCATTTTAGACATTTTAAATATGTAAAACCGCCACATGACCATTAAACATAAAACAAAAACTATATTTATATTTGAAAAACCTATAAAAAGGTTTTCAATTGTTTTTGAAAATCACGAGACCCGCGTGCATGTGCTCGCTTGCATAAGTGTGCGTGTGTGTGTGTGTTTTTTCCCCCTGTGCTTGAGTGTGTGTTTGATTTTGGCTTTTTCCTTTCTGAACTTTTGCGTATTAATAGCAACAAATAAATACATAAATATAGACAACAACAAAACTGCAGAGAGAGCGAATAAGGTGCAAAGTGATTTTTGAATGCCACGCGGAAGGGAAAACACAACGATAGAGAGGGAGAGAGAGAGAAAGCGATACAGAGTGACAGAGAGAGTGAGCAAGATCGCGAGAAAAGAGCGCGTGCGCAAGAACGCGGAGAAAGAGAAGGAGAGAGTGCGGGAGCACAAGAAGAAACCGTTACGTTTACGTATGGCAATGGCAAATGTTACGAAATCATTACAAAACAAAACTAAAAGTTACGAAAACAACAGTTTGCCAGAAATTCTTCACCTTTTAACTAAGTTGTATATCACTATTAGATATCGCCGATTTGCTAGGTGGCCTAAAAAACTGGTTCGTTGTTTTTCAGATTTCGTTTGTATTTTTTTTTTGTCGTTTTATGGCATCAATTCGTTAAGGCTTTTTTTGGAGTCTATGCTTTTGTTTGTTTTTTTTTTGTTATTGTTTTTTTTTTGGTTTCGAAATGCCGGCGAAATGGTTCGAGAGATTCGAGATATCGACTGCTCGATATAAGAAGGGAAACTACTTTGCCCGCCTTCTAATTGCCATTTCTTCTGGCGTTTTTTGTTTTTTTTTTTATTTCGGCACCGATTCTCCGCTCTTCACTCCATCCGCTTTCCTACATCCTCCTCCCCCACCATTCCGCGAAAAAAGAGAGGATGCGTGTGGTGGCAAAAGTTTTTTTTAGCGCCCCTTGCCACCCACACGAACACACATGCCGCACGGGGGGAAAGAGAGGGACGGAGAGAAAAAGAGAGTGGCGAGCTCATTAGAACAAAGAAATCCGAAATCCGTTACTCGAAATCTATCCAAATGCGTCGCAAATGCAGATTCAAATTTTGTCAACATTTCCGCACAGTGGTCTCAAAATGTGCTAGTCATGCTGAGTTAACCAAGAGTTTGAGCTGTATTTTAGTTTTGTATAATCCCTTTTGCTTTGGTAGCTTAAAAACAGCCTAATACTTTTCAATATTAATTTGAATTAATATATTCTAATTATTTCTGCTCTGTCCCACTGTAACGAGCTTCCCCTTCGTCGATTTCGTCACTTCGTTAGGGCCCAAAGGTCCTCGGCTGCACAGTGGACAGATGATAAGCCCAATCACCGAACAACCAAACAACAAATAGCGACAGATCGCCGGGTGGGGGGTGTGCGAGGGGGAGGGAGGGGCCTAATGGGGTGCTATAAAATGCCCATGGAAGGGCAATCGGCCAGACAGCTGTGGCATTTCCTAATCGTAGAAAACCGGGTGACGGGTATTTTTTCCGATTTTGTTGTATACCCTTTTGCCGATATCATTATAATTTTGTCTTTAAGTTTGCAAGTAGTATGCACTATTTCCACATTAGCTTTCTTGGAATTCACACGATTGCATAACTTGTTTCGTTTTAAGGACGATACATTTTTAAATCAAAAGGGGTAATTTAATTTTTAAAGCTATCTATAAAATGCAGAGAATTCAAACTTCGTCTTGCCTTTTTCAAGTTTCTTTTAATTTCTTATACTGTAAGCTTGTTTACACATGAATATTGATGTGTGTGCGTGCGTGTCTTGGCATGCAAACAAACATGTTTAGGCATGTTTTTTTTTGTATCTTTCTGTTGGTTATTTGTGACTTTGAACTTGCGTGTTGTTGTTGTTGTTGCTCGAAACTCGAATTTCCATGCGGCCAGAAGAAGATGAAGCAGACGAAAGGGGAGGTGAAGCAACAGCCCAAAAATTTGAATTCCCCTTTCAACTCCGAATGAGCAAACGAGCGAGAGAGAGAGAGGGAGAGCGGCATCAAAACAACAACAAGCCAGGTGCAACAACATTGCCAGCAAGCCGAAAAGTCCACATTGTTATAATCTTGGCAACGTGGTTTCCGATCATATGGTGGCCAAAACTGGGCGGGGATTGTATAATCGGGGGATATATATATATATATCTATATATTGTGGGAGTGGCTGCTCCTTTTTGGCTCTCTTTCTATCTATAAAAAAAAAACCCAAAATTAACGGTGAAAGCTGTGAAACACACACACACACGCACAACTAGCATACTTATGCTCGGTGGTCTGTGTGTGTGTGACTGTGCGATGGCATTGTGTAATCGTCGATTTAACTCCAAATTTTTCCCTTCGCCACCCACTGTCACTTTGCCGGAACAACAACAACAGCGCAGCAGCGGCGGCAGGCGGGCATACACTTGAACAAAAACTTGAAAAAAAAGAAGCGGGGGGAGCCGAGCGAAAGGAGGGAGCAGGAAGGAAAGTGCGAAGTGAGCTTGAGACCCGCCGAGACAGTGGAGCAAATCCGCTCGGAACAGAACATGACACCATTTTCCTCCACCATCTCTCTGTTTTGGCACACCAAACACACACACACAACGCACTTTTTGTACTAGGTTATGTTCCGCGTGCCTCGATTTCTTACCTCTCGCCACCGCCTGGATAACTTATTTTGCCCACTGATTTCGGGTGTTTTCAATACAATGCAATGCACTCGCGAGTTCTGCGTGGTCTTTTTGTGTGTCTGCTGGCGATTCACTGGCGATTTCTCAACGCTGGGCTGCCCGAATTAAACACGTGTCTAGTTCCACCTTTTACAAATCACAATAACATGGCCGGCGTGCGGCAGTGTGGCCAGGCTGCGCCGAAACCGGGGCGATTGTCTGCCTCGCGGGGAATCACCTCGCAGTTGGCCGATTTGCAGGCGCCGCGCACTTCTCAGGGGGTTTTCGGTTGGAATTTGGGAATTGCACTCGAATTGCTTGCACAAAGCCGAAAAAAACGTGTGCGGAGTCTGGTCATCGGGTCGAATCACAATCACGGCCAGCGTTGCTACTTGGTATCGATAGCTATCGATAGCGGGCGAGCAACCCTGAAGTGGCAGCCGCTGGTGCTGCGTTGCCACTGGGCTGTGTTGGTAAGTGCGTGATTTTTATTTATGTTTAAAATTTCAAGCCGTTAATTTCGTGTTCTGGGCAGCTCTTAATATTTCATTGCATTTTTGGAAAACTGTGAAATATATGCCCCTCTACAAATTCGAATAAGAAACCGCTTTGCTATATTTAAAGTAGAATACCATCAAATCTGCCAACAACCAAATTAGAATAATTATTAGGTCCTGCTTATACAAGGTATCAATCTAGTAAGCTACATTTTTTACAGAATTACATAACAATTTTAGATAGACGATAATTAAGAATTTAATCTTAACATTTAATTTAACATGAATTTTAACATTTTTGGTGTGGCTGTTTCGGTTTCAGAAAACATCGATAGAACATCGATATTGTAAGAAACCAAAAAACATCGATTGATCTGAGATATCTCCACCACTATTTCCTCTCCACTTTTTTTCGCTCTTTTCTTCTTTTAACAGCAACTGAGGTAGAGTGCTACGCCGTGGAATTTCGTCTAGAATTAAATATTAAGGCTGGTGAACTGTGCCAAATCTTACATTAGATCGGGTTTTATATCCGATTCTAACTATTTTTTCTTGTGTGTGTGTTTTTTTTTCGCTAAATTATTCGGCGCCCTCGTGTTTTTGTGGAATTTGCCACTATTTGTGTGTGTGTTGCAAGTGTGCGTGTGCGGCTATGAAGCTGAGTTCCATTTGATAGCCAAAATCCCTAGACTTTTAAACTCGCACGTGGTGTGGAAATATACACATAAATAAATAGCGGTTTCCACACGATAATATAATATTACAAACCACACATAACAAAAAATACTTTAGTTCTAGCTTTTGGCAACTCTGAACCGCCTAGAAATTGTTAAACATTTTAATAATAATAATTCTTTACCCACAGTGAAGATGGCAGTGCGCTACGAGCTGGCAATCGGTCTTAACAAGGGCCACAAGACCACCAAGATCCGGAATGTCAAGTACACCGGCGACAAGAAGGTCAAGGGTCTGCGTGGATCTCGCTTGAAGAACGTAAGTTAGGATCTCCGATCCGAATACCAATCCCCTTTGTTTACATGGCTTTTATTATCGATATTACAGATCCAAACCCGTCACACCAAGTTCATGCGCGATCTGGTGCGCGAGGTGGTGGGCCATGCCCCCTACGAGAAGCGCACCATGGAGTTGCTGAAGGTGTCCAAGGACAAGAGGGCCCTGAAGTTCCTCAAGCGCCGCTTGGGCACCCACATCCGTGCCAAGAGGAAGCGCGAGGAGCTGTCCAACATCCTCACCCAGCTGAGGAAGGCCCAGACCCACGCCAAGTAAACGGAACCCAGCCGATAGTTCGGAATCCGGAATCGGTATCGGAATCGGAAAAGCATTTGGAGCGCCGCGTTGTGTTTTTTATTTTTTTCCGGTGTGAAACACATATATCTATATAGACCAACAATACCATATATATGTCGTCGTTACTTGAGAGCGAGTCTAAGCATCCCAGAATTAAACAACAAAAAATCTTTTAAAAACCACAACTATCATGTGTTTATTTTTTTCAAGTGCCGAGGAAGCTAACCTCAAACAAATGGCCAGGAAATAGAGTTAAGAAAGTGGAATACCTAGCCTTAGGATGGGTAAAAATTTATTTAGAGCTGAGAAGGTATATTTCGCCTATAAAATATGTTCTCTATAATAAATAGGATGGAAATGCATAGGAGAATCCTTCTTTATAAGAACGATATATTAGCTTTTGATACATTATGCAGCGTCTTTTTTAGAATTATTACTTATTTGCACAGTTTTGTTGGTAATTTAGTTATTTCCATTTATGTTTTTTGACATTAGCTATGATGCACTGAATAATATTCTTCATATTTGCTTTATTTTATTAGAGGTTCATTGTAAAGAGGTTCCCCTCCCAAACATTTAATTATCCTTATCGTTATCATCGTCAAATAGTTAAGAAACACCGAAGCATATTCTTTTTTCAAGAGGAAAATAATTCGAATTCTTTAGGCTTTCTTTCTTTATTGGCTAGACACCTTAAACAATAAAGTTGCTACTGGAAACTGTCAGAATGCTTAGGACTAAATGACGAATGGATCCCGATCCGGGATAGATAATGCCAACCACTCACAGACATTTCACACACATAGAGGGGCAGGCACGCACATACAGTCTAAAATAATAATAATAATAGTTTGGAGATATGATGGTACAGAATCAATGCATTTGCCGGTGATGACATAGCGCCCAGTTTTGATATAAGTCTAACTTGATTGTGCAATTCGTATTTAAGATAATAGGATAAGTTAAAACAGAAATTGGACACAGGGCAGAAGGAATATTTTACTAAATTCCCTAGCTTCTAAAAATATAATATTAACCTAATATGATTTTAGTGTATATTTTTCGTAGAGAACATTTTGAACAAATTAGGAAAAGGTGAAAAATAAACCCTAGATAGAAAAATACCTACTTATAGGATAGTTATTACACAAAGTTAAATGGTTACCCCTCGATTTTGATGGGCATTGCGCCCCTGGGCGTTATGACATCCTATCCGCATCCTATCCTATTTGCTACCTAAGTCTAAACTGAAATGGGAGGGGGCACACGAGATCAAAAGTGTTGGCTGCCTTGCGTCGGTTGCGCCTTCCTCACAGCTCCTCCGTCAGGCTGGGCAGCGAGATGACCACCTCGCCCATCAGCTGCGCCTCGTGCGGATCGTTCGAGACGATGATGCGCTCGAACTCGGCGTTTGTGGGGTCCACGATCTCGTAGCAGGTGCCGGTGCCCGGCTTCAGGTCGATCTCCAGCGAGACGTTCACCTGCGGCGACAGTATTTGCTGCGTCACCTCCAGACTCTCGATGCGCGTCGTCTCCAGGCGGTAGAATCCGTTCTCGTCCACCCGGTAGGTGAATCTCTTGTGGCCCGACGGCAGCCGGAAGCCGTGCTTCTTGATCAGGTGGGCGGACAGGGACTTGCCGCTCTTGAAGAAGCGCTCGCAGCAGTGGCAGGCGTACAGAATGGGATTATTGCCGTGCACCTCCAGAAAGTGCTGTGGAAAAACATGGAATTTATTGACATTTCCCTGTAGTTTACAAGTAGCTTTTTACCCTTCGCATCTGCGTGAAGGTGCGCACCGAGTAGTGGCAGTCGGGATGCTCGCACTGGTGCACCGTCTTCGAGTGGACTATCTGGACGTGCTTGGCGAGATCCGATTCCCGGACGCAGCGCGTATCGCACTCGCTGCACTTCAAGGGCTTGTCCTTGAGGTGGCGATACCGGATGTGGGTGGTCAGCGAGCTGGCCGAGCTGCAGGTCATGTCGCACATGGTGCACTTGTAGCAGTTCACGTGCCGCACCACATGGCTCTTCAGCAGCTTCTTGGTGGCGAAGAACTTGAAGCACTGGGCGCACTGAAAGTTGTTGGCTGCAAATGGATTTTCAGATTTAGTATCTTAATTGCTTCTAAACTAATTAGTTTATATGGGGGTTGCACATCCTTATTTGGCAGTGAGATGTGTGTATATTTGCAAGGGGTGTTTTCAACAATCAATAAGATGCTTGGTGAACAATTCACCCCCATGGAAGTGAATTGATTGCTATCAAAGTTGCAACTATCTCTCCCTTGAAAAATCAATGTTTGCAAAATGGAGGAAAATATGAAAAATATCATCATATATCAAATATATGCTAGAACTAGGACCAAAATGTCATTATTAAGGATGGTATCTTAACTAAACCCCGATCTGAAAAGGTTAAGGGGGAAAATCAAGGATTTTAATGTCCTAGAAAAGGATGAAATAAAAAGAGATCCAAAATATTTGAAATAAATCATCATATATAAAATATATACTAGAACTAGGATGGAAATGTCATTACTAAGGATGGTATCTCAGGTTAAGGTGGAAAATCAAGGATTTTTTTATCTTAGAAAAGAATGAAATAAATAGAGATCCGAAATATATAAAATATTTCATCACATATCAAATATATGCTAGAACTGGGACTAAAATGTCATTACTAAGGATGGTATCTTAACTAAATCCCGATCTGAAAAGGTTAAGGGGGGAAATCAAGGGTTTTTATATCTTAGAGAAGGATAAAATATGAAATATATCATCACATATCAAATATATGCTAGAACTAGGACTGAAATGTCATTATTAAGGATGGTATCTCAGGTTAAGGGGGAAAATCAAGGATTTTTATATCTTCGAAAAGGATGAAATATGAAATAAATCAACATATGTGAAATATATGCTAGAACTAGGACTCAAATGTCATTACTAAGGATGGTATCTTAACTAAAATAAAGAGAGACCCGTAATATATGAAATATATCATCACATATCCAATCTATGCTAGAACTAGGACCTAAATTACATTACTAAGGATGGTATCTCAGGTAAAGGGCGAATATCAAGGGTTCTAATGTCCCAGAAAAGGATGAAATGTCCCCGAGAAGCACCCCACTCACTGTTGTTCTCCGGCTGGCGGCGCAGGTGGTCGAAGAGCGTCGTCTTGGTGCGGAACAGCTCGCCGCAGTGGAAGCAGGCCACCTGCTTCTTGTTCGAGTGGGTGCTGATGTGCTCGATGAGGCGGTACTTGTTGCCCATGTGCTTGTGGCACATGGTCCAGTTGCACATGGTCTTGGGCCGCTCGTCCTCGGGCGTCTTCTGTATGTCGTACTCGAAGAGGGCGTGCTTGACGATGTGGTCCTGGAACTCGACAATCGAGACGAACTCGCGCTCGCAGTCCGTCCAGCCGCAGCGGAAGTTCTGGCCCAAATGGGGCAGCTTGTCCGCGAGGCGGGCGGGCGCCGTGCAGGCGGGGATCTCCGGATGCAGGTCGCACTCCAGCTGGCCCTGCAGCAGGAGGTGCAGGTAGTAGCCGTGGTAGTACGAGTGCCGCTCGAACTCCACCAGGTTGGCGGTGGCGAAGTCGCAGGCGTTCCAGGTGCACTGGTGCTCCGTTTTATGGTCCGCCTGATCCGCCACCGCCCGGCGGTCCTGCTCGCGGGCATACTGCTCCAGATGCTCGGCAATGTGCCCATTGAGACTCCATTCGCCCGTGCAAATCTCCTGGCAGCCGCGCCATCCGCAGGCCAACTGCAGTTCCGCGGGCTTTTTGCGCTTCCCCGGCGGCTGGGGCAGCGGCATCGGTGGCGGCTGGGGTCTCAACATGGCTGGTTCTGGCGGTGCTCACGATTCTGGTGATTCTGGCGGGGATTCGGTCGCCTAGGCCCAAAATCTGGCTCAATTCTTGCTCCCGAGTACGGTCCTACTGGGCAAAGTGGGCCACCTGATATCGACAGGACGCACTGCGCCTATCGGTGGCGTGCGGTCACACTGATATCGATTGTTGGACCGCTATTTAAATTTAATTTAATTCTCGTTATTAACTAATAACTTTGTTAATTTGTGTGGTTGAAGAGCATTTCGATATATATTTTTATTTCAAAAGCGTTTTATTGCCAGTTTCACCTGATTTTTTAAATTTAAATGCCATTCATTTGATATTTTGAATTGAAATGACATTTTCAAAAAAAAAGATTTCTAGTAGAAATTTTCTACACAATTTATATAAAACCATTGCAAAATAAATTTTGTTTTCCACGTTAATTTAAAGTTCATTGGTTTGCATATTAAATTGTATTAAAATATATCCATAATTTCCAGTCTAATAACACCTAAGACTTAATTTTACAAAATCTGAAAGAATTTCAGCTGTAGATTTATACACATCCTTGAAAACTTTTGAGAAAATCGCAGCTATTAAGCTTATTAGCGACACAGATTAATACTTTACCTGCAATAAAAACACTCTTCATTTCCAACAAAAGAACAAAACTCGGGTAGAGGGTGACCTTGCGATCTGGCATAGATAGTTTTACTTATTCAAGATCGAGATGCTTTAGCTGCTTATAACTAAGGATATTTAGTGGGTAAATTTAAGTTCTCTGCTTGACGGCTAATTCTTAATTAACATATATATCCGATGGCGATTTCAGCCCCCCGTTGGAAGCTCAGCTGCCTGGTATGGTGTAGGTATGGTTCCTATGATATCCCGAAATTAGAGTCCCGGCATTACGTAGGCGATGTTGTCCAGGGTGTCGGCGAGGTTTTTGCTCAGCTCGACCTTGTTCTCCAGTCCCGGAATCTGCGTGGTCATGCAGAGCAGTGGTCCCATGGCGCAGAGCAGGCTGTCGAGGAGCACGGACAGGCTGCCCGAGAGGGCCACGTATCCGTTGTGCTTCTTCAGCCGCTCGCCGATCACCGTGAGGCTCTCGCCCAAGAGTTTTAAATGGGCCGCCGCGTCGATCACCTCGATGCTGGTCTTGTGCGACTCCTCGTGCCTCTGGTGACCAGCTCCACTCCTACTGCCCACCTCCGCCTCCCCGGGCGACTGCTGCTGTTTCGCCGCCCCACTCGTCGAGGCCTGCGACCTGCCACTCCGTGTGCTAATGCTGCGCCTCTGCGACGAGGTACTCGCCCCTGCTGCTGCTGCCGCCGCCGCCGCCGCGTCTAGAGAGGATTGCTGCCGATCGGCGGCCAATTTGCGTGTACGACTCGTCGTCGCCCGATTCTGGAAGATCGTCTCGTGCTGCGAGGGTTCGGCCAAAGCCAAGGCCGTGCTGCTGCCATTGCTAGCCGCCTGCGGAGCGCCATTCGGAGCTGTCCTGTCGCGCGATCTGGCCCTGGACGCCTGGATCTTGGCCTTGCGCCGCCAGGCGTTCTTGTCCCGATTCGACACGTTCGCCCACATCTCGCTGAGACGTCTGGTGGCGCTGGTAAAGTCTAGAATAAAAGGAAAGTAGGTAAGTGAAGGCAGTATTTTATTAAAAACTATAGAAAACAAAAAGGGGTCTAAAGAATTTGCGTTTAAAATGGGGATTTTCGATAGTTACGTTACAACCAACCATATTTTAAGATAGTATTAGCTTTAAAAACCAATCAGCATGCAAAGTCTACTGAGGTACTGGCTGAAGAATTCGCGTTTGGATTTATAATTGAAGAAAATAAATTGTTGAGGGTGTCTAACACCCAGAACCCGGAGATTTTATTAAAATTGTATTAAAAACTATACAAAACAAAAAGGGGTCTAAAGAATTCGCGTTAAAACTGGGGATTTTTGATAGTAACGTTACAAACAACCATATTTTAAGATGATATTAGCTTTAAAAACCAATCAGCATGCAAAGTCTACTAAGGTGAGGCCTGAAGAATTCGCGTTTGGTTTTATAATTGAAGAAAATAAATTTTTGACTGTGTCTAACACCCATTTAAGCTTAATTAGAAAATATTCCAATACCAAACCGAGCAGGAACCCGGAGGTTTCTGTTTCTTTAACCAAGATTTAGGGGCTAAGGACTGGAATCTTAACTCTGAAATACTCGAAAACCTACCCAGATCCTGGAGGTCCCGCTTGCGCGCCTCCCTGGCCCACAGGCTGTAGGCGGTGTAGCGCTGCTTGCCCTTGTCCTTGCGCTGCACCTTGGCGTTCACCACCTTGCCGTCCTTGAGCACCTTGCGCTTGTTGGCCTTCTCGCGCATGTAGAGACTCTGGCGGACGGTGGGCGACGCCTGGCTGGTGGCCTCCGCCTGGACGCCGTCGACCAGATCCTGCACCAGGTTGTCCAGCTCGTCGTCGGAGTTCAGGACGGCGGCCGCCGCGGTCGGCGTTTCCGGGTGCTGGAACTCCTCGCCCTCGGAGATGTTCGGCTCGTCCACGAGCATCTCCTGGTCGAGATCGAGGTCGCGCAGCGCATTCGACGGCCGCCCGCGTCCGGAATATCTAGAGGTTTGCCTGCCGCCACTTTGGCGCCGCGTCCGCTTCTCGATCTCCTCCGGCGACTCGAAATCCAACAGTTTCGACGACTTTTTGCGTACGCGTCCGCTGCGCGAAACGCCTGTCACCTGGAAATCTGAAAGGGGAGCGCATTGGTGACCCCGATAGCAACACTGGTGGGGATTACTCACCTTTGGCCACCAGGTGCGAGGTGGGCGACTCCATTTTTGGATCCCCGATTTGGAAGATTCGGATGCAATTTGTTGTAAAAAGAAAAACAAATTAAACGACGCAAATGGAACAGCTGATTGGTGTGACCAGATCTTAGGGCTGGGATTTATCGGAGCCGATAGTTGGGAAATATATATGTATTTTGTAATATATTTCGACTTGAATTAACTGCACAAAACGGGTTTAAAATAATTTTAGTTTTATATCAGATTCAGATGTTTTATCAATCAAAATACACAACACAGAATGGTATGCATAGTAAAAATAAAACAAATGGTTAGTAAAAAAAAAATTATTAATGATAAGAAAACCTATAGAAAACTAAAATTAATTGAATAAAATAATAAGTATTTTCAACTGACCATCAAAGCTAGCCTAGAATTTTATTTACATGTCACGACCTTATAGCCAAATAAATAAACTAACGATAGTATCGCAAATGTATTCGGTAAGACCAAACTGGATCATTCTGCCGGTAGCCAGCCGCTGGTCACACTGCCGCGCCTTTGTTTTGTTTGGGTTTCCATATTGTTGTTGTTGTTGTTTGCACAGTGGAAGCGGCTTTTCGGTTTATTGATCGGATTTGCACCTGGCTGAGTGAAGCGCCCCATGGCACGCGATTCTCGGCGACTGTGAGCAGCCGGTGGCCCCCAACCCAAGGACACTTCGTCCCCCCAGCGCCCGCCGCATCGCATTTGTATTTGGCAACCCGCACCCGTTTGCTTTTTCATGACCAAAACGGCGGCTGCGATTCAAACGAAGTGAAGCTCAACCGCAAAAAAACATTCGCACGGCGTCAATCAATCGAAGCGGGTGCTAAATCGGCTAAATAATATATACAAATATGTCGGGGGATGGAATGGGGATGACCAAGAGCAGGGGAGGATCAGGATCAGGATCAGGAGCAAGTGCATCCGAAACGGACAATGTAACGGCCCTCGAGCTGCAGTCCAATAAACGCATGCTCTACTTCAGCGATGGCGTCATGGAGGAGCTGTCCTCCGGCAGCGAGGACGAGGCGGATGCGGAAGTGGGCGACAGGAGCTACGACGTCCATCTAAACGAGGTACGTCATCCGGGGACTAACGGTAGAGGGCTATAAAAATCATATAAAATGCCTAAAATATTTGAGGGTCAGTGAGAATTTCCAAAATATTCCATGCGAATCTCAAGAATTCGCGTTTGCTTCAATTTGTAACGTTACAATTGAATTGAAATATGATTCAAATTCGCATTAGCATTTATTTGTTAAAATGCCTAATATATCGAGGATCAGTGAGAATTTCCAAAATATTCCATGCGAATCTCAAGAATTCGCGTTTGAATCAATTTGTAACGTTACGATTGAATTGAAATATGATTCAAATTCGCATTAGCATTTATTTGTACGTTTTTAACGTTACGATTCAATGAGAAATGGAAATTAAATAGTTGTGCATAAAATGCAAAAATAAATCATAAGGAAGTTAGACATTTTCGGTATAAAAAATCAAATTAATGCAACCTTACTATTAAATTAATATTTATTCAACTAGAATTTTTAAATGCTTTTCTTTTTAACTATTAAATAATGTTATCTAACAAAAACGCCTAGGTATTTGTTAGATAATCCCTTTTGTTTTAATTATTTCAAGAGTTTATATAGGAATATTTACTAAATAGCAAACATTTTGGGCCATTATATTGCCCTAGTTAAATATTTGAGTTATTAATATTACAAAATATTGTGGATAAATTGTGACAAAGTAAAAAGTTCATATCTCTCAATGGAAATATATATGGCTTTGAGCATGCCTCGTAAACAAGTAGAGCCCCGGGGCAATGGGAAGATAAGAACATGGTTATTGACCACTATCGTGACTCACCTAACCTTTTCCCCCTCTCATTTCCAGAGCGAAATGGCGCTGGGGCCACGCCTGCGGCACAGGGCCAGCAGGATGGGCAACCGATTCCTGGCCGGCATCGACTACGTGGGCGGCGGACTGGCCTCCCTGCTGGGCATCACCAGCAGCAAGTATGCCAGCGAAATGGAGAACTACCAGAGGGCCAAGGAGAATGGCGACGAGGACCTTGACAACTGGCAACCGCAGGCTAATAACAATAACAACAATAACGGTGGCCGGAATGAGACCATCGTTTTGTGCGGACCAACACGCAGTGAGGCGACCTTGTCACCCACTCGGCAATAGGCGAAATTGCGCCCCTTTTGTTGGTTTCTTGGCTGGAAAACGTGGAACAAAAATGCTCATGGAGTACTTTTTTAGTTGGTAAAACCCAGAGGAATCAGTATCAGAATCAAATCCAAACAGATCTTAACTTTTCGACACTTTATTCGCTAGCAAATAAGTTACATGTAATAATAAAAAAATACACAATACAAAATACACATATATACTGTTTGTTATAGTCTCCAGTTGTATAAAGGTTAGGTTAAAATTAGTTTTCCGTTCTCAGGCGAATCTTTGGGGCATTGAAAATATAGAACAATTTTCAATACCCCCAAATTTGATTCGAAAAACGGACTTCCCTTTCAAGTTCCTAAAGCTAATGGCACACTGAATACAATTAGGCATTACGGCTAGGATTGCAATTGCATTTGTTTTTCGTTTCGTTTGTTAAGTACACTTGTTTCGGCTTTAAAATAAGAAAAAGAAGACAGCAAAGTAGGTTTTTGTTTTTCGAAGACATGAACATGCGTATCACAGTATTTGGTTGCTGCGTGTTTCTCTCTCTAACTCAAGAACTCAAGAACAAAAAAAATAGTAATACAAAAATGCTATATATAATTACGCACAGGCGATATTAGGGCTAATTGTCAAAAAAAAAGGCAAGAGCTATTATTGAATTTGGTTAGACCAAAGCGGCAAAAGGGCAGCTAATTAGGAGCCACATTAAGTACACACCAAAAATAGGATATGGGCAATTACGATACATTGTGTATGAGCTAAACTAAATAAGAGGACATTTCCCGGGTTATATACACAGTACATAGATGGGGTTCCAAAGCGAACTAAGATATGGTTAGTTTACAAACAACTAGATAGTCAATACCCTAAACCTAAGGACTGACTTTGGCGCACAGCAGCTGCCGCAGGAACATTGACTGGTTTGGAAGGTTTAAATGGGGATGAGGATCCCCCCTAGAGCAGCGTCTCATCGCCGTAGTGCTGCAGGTGCGGATAGTAGCTGTACTTCTGCGAGGCGTAGCTACCCGGTGGATAGTACAGGCGATGCGAGGAGGAGGAGTGATGGTGGTGGTGATGGTGCTGCTGCAGCTGCTGCTGATGATGATGATGCGGCGAATGGCTACTGCGCTGCTGCTGCTGATGCTGCATGCTCCTGCCCAGCGAATAGTTGGACATCTGATGCAGCGATATGGAGCCGGCAGCCTTCAGCTTGTAGGGACTCTGCGGCAGCGGAGCACTGGCCATCGAGGGCCGCACCGAATGATAGGAAACGACCGTGCTGTTGCAGGCCGCATGCGATCCCCGCGAGCTGCTGTGTCCGTCAGCTCCTCCAGCTCCTCCTGCTCCTCCTGCGGCTGCGGTCGGCTGCTTCACCATCTTGACCTGCCGCTTGTAGAGCGTGGAAATGCTCGGTCCGAGGACCCAGGCAAAGCAGCAAATGCCCAGCATCAGCTCCATGAAGGCGCGCAGCAGGAAGGGCCACAGCGGGGTGTCCGTGTCGCCCGATCCCAGCCAGACATCGATGTTGGCGAACTCGTAGATGACCGCCAGCAGGAGCAGGGCGCAGGAGAGGCCGTAGATGAAGAGGAACACGCCGATGCCGGAGCTGCTGTGGGCACTCAGCTGCTGCAGCTGCTGCTGCAGGCTCAGCGTATTGCTGCTACGCAGGATCTCCTTGGTGCGACAGTGCACCAGGTAGCCGGAGATCAGGTTCATGGAGCCGAAGATCCAGTAGCAAAAGACCGGCGTGGCCACCAGTATCTGGAGGGCCTTGTCCGACTGGTTGCCCACGAAGCAGGCGCCTAAACAGAAGATAGTTTGTGTTATTCAGTGTTATTCGCTGGATTATCCCAGGCTAATCTCACCCAGCAACTCGTCTGCGTCCACGAAACGGGCCACGATGACGGCCGCCGTCTGGAAGGCCGGCAATCCCCAGGCCACGAAGCACACAAAGTTGTTCTGGCTCAGATCCTGCTGGGCGCTCTTTACGCCGCTCCTCTTTGACGGACTGCCTCCGAAGTTGGCGGGAATGGCCACGTGGCCCTTGGAGTCGGGACTGTGCCGCCGGATGTCGCGGTGCCAGCCCAAACAGAGCACAGCCCACCTGGAAAGGGTAAGGAGAAGGTATTTGATTAGAACTAGGTATTATTTAAGGTCTGTGCAACAAGGTTTTATTGAAGAGAAAATCATATATAAATATATCTGTATATGAAAACTATAGGATAATATGATGATGATATTTATGATAATAATATGATAGTTAATATGAAATATGAAAGGAATGCGATTAGAAGTAGGTATTATTTAAGGTTTATGTAAAAAGGTTTTATTGAAAAGAAAAACATATATAAATATATCTGTTAAAATAACCTGAGACCAAGCCTTACACAGATATTCTAAATGGAAACTATAGGTTAAATTTTTTGATGATATTTATAATAATAATATAATAATTAATATGAAATTATTCTTCATTAAATTAATAATTTAAATTAGTAAATGTAAGTTATATTTTCTATTAAGTTATATTTTTCTACATGGGAACTATAGGATAATATTTTAATGATATTTATAGTAATAAAATGATAATTAATATAAAATTCTTTTTCGTTAAATTAATAATTTAAATTAGTAAATATCACTATGTTATATTTTCCATAAGTTATATTTTCTATTTAGTTATATTTTCTATATGGAAACTATAGGATAATATTTTAATGATATTTATAATAATACGATAATTAATATGAAATTCTTTTTCAGTAAATTAATAAATGCTTTAACTAAGTATGACTAATATCTTAAGTCATATTTTCTATATGGAAACTATAGGAAAATTTGATAAATAATATGAATTATATTTTCATTAAATTAATAAGTGCTTTAGGTAAGGTATATTTTCTACCTTTGTTTTAAATATTTCTAAATTAAATAATGCAATATAAAATATTTGTTATGTTTTTATCTAATTGTTAAATTCAAATATTAATTTGTAAATTTTGATAAATATTTTAATTTAGAAAATCTAGGTATTTATTTTTACCATTCCATTTTCTTATAAGTGGGGATAGCGAAAGTTTCAAGACGCCTAGTATTAAATTTAGTATGGGATCAATAAATCTAGTATAGAGATGTCTCCATTAAATTTCTAGCCAAAAGTAGAATATAATAATATTTTTAAAATAAAAATATCTTAAGTATTATCTCGATCTATAGACTACAATCTCACCAGGCGCAGGCAGCCATCCCGAAGTAGTATCGCATGAGGAAGACGCTGGCGCAGGAGGCGTTGGACAGTCCGTCCACGCTGAGCAGCGATTCGCTGGGTGCCTGGGGATCGGTGCCGCAGGCAGTGCCCGTCCGGCCCACCACGAAGCGCACGGCCCAGCCGAGGGTGACCATGTTGTGGCACCAGACGAGCGGCGAGAGCAGCCGCGACCACTTGGCGCTGGCCAGGCGGCTGCCATCGCTGGCCAGCAGGCAGCCGGTGGCCACCAGGGCCAGGCCGCAGGCGGCGTAGGCCCAGGTGGAGACCCAGATCTCGGCCAGGTGCTTCTCGGCCGGCGTGAACAGGATGTCCGCCTCGCAGAGCGGAGCACAGCGTCCGGATCGCGGTAGTCGCACGTACAGATGCGATTTGGCCAGGCCCGAGCAATCGAGCGGCAGTTTTCCACCCGGTAGTCCGCCGCCCAGCGGCTGTCCTGGGAGCCCGTAGGGATCCTGATCCTGCTGCGGCTGATGCACCTCGCCTGGACCCTCCATGCACATGGTCTCGTGGTTGTTCTCCCGCGGAAACCGCTCGCAGTCGAGCGCCGGCGGCCAGGGGAAGCCGAATCCCTGGAGGACCGGGTGGCAGCGGATCCGCACCGACTCGCAGAGACTGCGGCAGGGACCGATCGCATGGACCGGCGCCTTGGGCGTGCACATGGGCACGTAGGCGGCGCACAGGAAGAGCTTCAGCTGCGAGCTGCAGTCGTACTCGATCAGCGGGGCGAAGGTCTGCAGCGTGTACTCCACGTCCGTCTGCATCTCGTGGCCCACCAGATTCGGCATGGAGGTCTCGTTGTAGCCGATCTTGCGGCACATCTCGATGCGGATGGTCTCGCACTGCCGGAAGGCGGGCATCTCGGGCGGGGAACTGGAACTGGCGCTGCCGGGACTGCCGCCAGATGTCGCCCGGGTGCAGCGGGAATGCAGGAGAATCAGCAACAGGGGGTATATCATCCAGGCATGCTTCATTTCTAATCGATTTTATTGTTTATCTTCCGAAGAATTTGATTTTGGGATTGCTTTTCTCCGCTTCTCGGAGAATTCTCCACTTCTTTTCTACCCGAAGAATCCAATCTTAGGTATTTCTTCACTAAAAGGTTACCTCTTTCTTTTTTCCCGAGGAGAATTTGATCTAGGGATTGCTTTTCTCCGCTTCCCGGAGAATTGATCCGATGCTCGGTGGGTTTCCCTTTCTTTTCTACCCGAAGAATCCAATCTTGGGGATTTCTTCACCAAAGGTTAGTTCTTTCTTTCTTCCCGGAGAATTGCTCCGATCTTCGGGGCTTCCACTACTTTTCTGCCCGAACAATCCGATCTTGGGGATTTCTTCGTCGCCACAGGTAAACTCTTTTCTTCCCGAAGAATCCGAACTTTATGCAGATTCTGTGGATTCTTCAGTGGATCGCTGGAAGGGGTAACCTGTTCCAGGTTCTCGCCCTCTCTCTCTCTCTCTCTCTTTCTGCCTCGCTCTTTCCAATAATTTCCAGCTCTCCAGCTTGTTATTGTTGCCTCGGCTTGTCAACTCCAACTCGTTAACTACCTTTTTTTTCGGCGTCGTTCTTGTTATCGCTTCGCCTCTCTCCCCACCTCATTCTCCTTCCCCATCCGCTCGTACGCTCCCCTTTCCCCTGCTCCGCCCCCCGCTGCTCCAAGTCGCCAAACGGGTTTTTCCTACGGGATTAACGCGAAAACACTTGGCTAAATCACTGCAACTCTTATAAATTTCACTGAACTTCCTGCGGAAACTTAAAAAAACTGAAATAAATGTTGTTTTGAAACAAAAATAAACAACTAGTTTACTTCGTAATTCATTTTTTTTTCGTTGACTGTGTGACCAGTTCTAGTTACTTAAATACACCAAAAAAACACGGCCCTAGCGGTGACACAAACCTGGTTCGTTGCGCTGCTTGTATTCCAATTGGCCGAAAAGTAACGGTGCCTTTCCCGCTCCAATTCGATTGTCCAATTGGCATGGAAACTTTGTGATTTTGTCTCGTTTAAAAGTAATTTTCTTCGTTTATTTTCGCGTTTCGTGTGTTTGAAAACGTGATAGAAATGAGTATCCAGGACGAGAGTTTTCCGGCGGACGAGCTGTTCGACCAGCTGAACAACCTGAGCAGTCTGGGCGCCAGGAACACGTGGTTTGCGGAGCACCATCAACCCGCCGCCTTTGAGAGGAACACGGCGCAGTTTTTGGACACCTGCTACGCGGATGCGGATGAGGATGGGGATGCGGATGGGGACGCGGATGTGGCCAATAAGAGCGCCAAAACGTGCGTCAGCGATCCCGCCGGTCGCGACCAGGAGGACGAGGATGATGTCGATGGCGGTAAGTAGTTAGCTCCTTACCTCTAAGTAAGTAGCCAAACAAACCTACAAACATTTTTCCAATTAGATTAAAAAAAATTGTAAACGTATATTGGTTTTGATATGATACACATTTGTAACATACAGAAAAAAAAGCAATTACATTAAAAAAATGTTTAAAAATGTTTACAAAATATTAAAAAAAATTATTACAACTACATTAAAAAAAATTATAAAATGATATTCGGTTTTATACATTAATTTTTACATCAAAAAAAGTTTTAAAGCGTTATTTGGGCTTGTACATTTTTTTTATATTTATTTCTTACTTATTTCCTGGTGCCACAAGGACTTCCTTATAATTTAATGCACTAGTCACATGAACAATATTAAGAATTATGCAAAAACATATATACACTTATATCTAACATTTAATACAATTAACAATTAGAATTAACAGTTTAAATAATTGTTAAAAATTTACATTTTATTAGTTTTGTTATTTTATTATAATTTTAATTTTAATTGAAACTTTGCGATTTTATATATTTATTTATATATTTTTATAATGCGAATACTCCCGTTTCTGGTTCCTTCAGCCAGTGGCAGTCAATTGGGCGGCGGGGAGGGCCCATTGGGCAGTGGGCGTGGCAGCAAGGCGGTGTCCTACCAGGACATCCACTCGGCCTACACGAAGCGCCGCTTCAAGCACGTGAAGAGCAAGGTGGCCCAGTACATAGCGGACATCCAGGCGGAGGACGAAAAGCGACGCAGTGCGTCCGGTCTGGGGATCCAGCGGCACAGCTCCATGCCGGAATACCTGACGCCCACATCGCGGCGGGAGTTCAAGGCGGAGATGGATGACTCCCAGTCGCAGAATCAGGCCCATTCGCAGACCAACAACTCCAGCTGCAGCGAGGAGCACTTGCTGGCGGTGATCGAGAACCTGCAGGAGGACAAGATGCGCCTCCAGGCGCGCAACGACTACATCCAACTCGCCCTGGACAAGAAGCGGTCCGAGTACCTGCAGATGCGGAGCAACTTCGAGACCTGTCGCTCGGAGCTAAGCGACTGCCAGCAGAAGCTGAGGCGCCACCAGAGCCACTCGCTGAGGTCCCTGAACTCCTGGCCGCCGGCGGGCATCGCCAAGGCCACCCAAACGGAGGCCGCCGAGTCCAGTGCCCTGGTCACACCCCTTCCGAGGGGCGACCTCACCTACAACAGCAGCGAGGGCTCCATCGAGATGGCCCTGCTCAGCGTGGCGGCCCCCGTGCCCAGAATCCCCCAGAATCTCGGCCAGACCATCCATCCGCAATCGCTGGACTTTAGCAGTGTCAGCACGGAAGCCGATGGCAGTGGAACCCTAGCCGGTAAGGATCGGGATTCATTATGCTTTAAGCTGGAACATCGAACACATATCTTAACATTGATTACCTGAAAATACGCGAATTCTTTAGATTTTTAATACAGTACCTTAATTGAAGTGTTTTGTTCATAGCACAAGGCGCAGTAAATTCGCGAATTCTTGAGCATCAGACAGAAAACTAACTTGGACCTAATAAAGTTCCAAATCAAACAAGTTCATTTTTACAACATGCCAAGTTACAGCAGTGAAACAAAAAGAAAAAAAATACATTTTCACTAAAAACCCAGATCCCAGTTTTCCATAAAAAATAATTCGTTTTTTGGCCGTAACAATGGAAATATTGATCCAAATTTGGATTGTCATACCTTTCTGAACTCGTTATTAAATTTCCAATCGATTGGCATTTAAACCTGGACATTTAATTTTTTTACCATTTTTCGTAAAAAATTATGATGTACCCCCTTATAAAAAAATTGAAAATTTGAGAAAATTTTATTTTTTCAAGATCACCCGGAAAGTGTCTTGGATTTTTTTGTTATCTTGTTATCTGTTCAAAACAGTTTGAATTTTTGGTGTAAGTCCATTTTTAACCAAGTTACAGGAAAAAAAACAATCAGAAAAATTCATTTTTTTACCAAAAACCCAGATCACAATTTTCTACGCAAAAAAGAATTAGTTCTCTGACCGAAACAATGAAAATATTGATCCAAATATGGATTTTTATACCTTTCTGAACTCTTTATTAAACTCGTTATTTCCAATCGATCGGCATTTAAACCTAGCCATTTTATTTTTTTGCCATTATTCGCCAAAAATCATGCGAAAAAATGTGAAAATTGTCGAAAAATGTTATTAATCTTTTGTTTTCTGTTCCCCTATTTCAGGCGAGGCTCGTGGCAACTCCTCGTCCAGGGCCCCGGCGAGGAGGCCACCGGCGCCCAACAACTCGGAGACCAGCCAGCCGAGCAGCAACGACTCGGCCATCGAGGTGGAGGGCAACGAGGAGGAGCGACCCTCGGCCAGGCAGTGGATCCAGCGGAATCAACGCGGGGGCATCTTCTACTTCGACAAGCGCAGCAATCGAGTCATCGAGGTCATCGGCATCAGCCAGAACCATCGGGATCACAATCAGGGCCAGGATACGAGTCAAAGTCAGAGCATCAACGACAGCCAGGCCCAACTGCTGGTCCACTCGATGTCGCAGTCGCAGTCGCAGGTCCAGACCAATGTCCACTTCAGGAGCAAGAGGAGCTCCGCCTCGCTGGGCAGCCGGGTGCTCCGCCTCTTGGGGCCCTGTGTTCGGTGCAGGAATGGTGGTGACCCGACCTTGAATGGCAGCAATGCCACGTATACGTTGGACTTGTCCCTATTGCCGGGAGGAGAGTTCAGGGACCCAAGGAACCAGCGATAGGATCGATCCCCCATCCATTCCATTTTATTTGTTCTTTGTAGGCTCATATCTTGTTATATTTTTTATGTCGCGTTAAGTTTATCCATTTGTAGTCTCAATTTTTATTGCCGCCGTATTTATTCAACCCAGTGTGTGCATGTTTAGCCAAATGAAAGAGAGAAAGAATTCGAGGTATTGTAGGAGAAATGTTAAATTTATTTCATTCCGATTATATTTGCTTGTTTTAATAATAAATTTGCACATTTGCAGTTATATCGAAAAACTTCCGAGGGGGGATTAAGAATCTGGTGTCAAAGCCCCAAAAATCTTTGATTTTTAAGCTTGCGAAACTGTACTTAAATTGCACATGTGACCATGTGTGCATGCAGCACTTGCAGCTTTGGTCACACTGGCAGTGATCGTCACTCGTCACCGACTTCGCTGCACCCTTTCGCCGTGGAAATGGACACACACACGATTACGATTTTCGATCTTCAAGTTTGCTACGATTTATTGTGGGTTTGCTTTCTCGAATACACACTTGCACACAAGGCAATGAACGAACGCTTTGCAGATTCCACTGGTTTTAGATAGTTGTTGGCAATAACTACTCTCTATGCTTTATATTATTTATTGTTCTGTTTTTTTATTGAGTTTTGTTTCGTTTTTTTAATGTATTTGTTGGTTTCTTTACACTTGTTTTTATGTATTGTATTTCTCTCGTTTGTATCTTGTTTGCATAATAAATTATAGTTAAATTAAAAGTAAAATGTTATCAAGTTAGTAATTTTTTTAGGTTTTCAGGCGGGGTGGTGGTGCTGGTGGGTCGGACATTTCGGGCATTTTGGGGGGATAAAGCATTAGGGTGGTGGTGGTGGTTAGTCGATCGGCTAAGATGAAAACATAACAAACTAAATATATAGAGTGGGGGATCGTTGGTGGTGGGTGGTTTAGATGGGGAAGGGGGAAATGCTGAACATAAACAATAGGCGCAAACATTCTTCTCTCTGCCTGTCCTCCCTATATATATAGTCAATCGTGTATGTATATATATAGCTTATACAATTAATTAAGTGGTTGCTTTTGCTTTTGCTGGTTTCTCTCTTCGTTAATTATTTTACTACTAAAAATAAGTTTCTGCCTTATTTCCAACTTATTGTTTTGCTGTTGCAGGTTGCAGTTGCAGTGTGTTGCAGTTTTCTTCTGGTTTTCCTATTGGTTCGTATTTGGTTGCTGTTCTCCTTCTCCTTCTCCAACTACACATATCCAACTCTCTCAATATCAGCGTCGTCACATCGATCGATCGTCAATCGAATCTCCCTCTCCATCTTCCTCTCCCTCGTCAATTACAATCTACAGCTTCTGCATCCATCGTCCATCGTCCATCATCCTCTGGCTATAAAAGGTTGAACACTCCAGCTCTACCCGCTCCTCCTGCTCCTCCAGATGCCTCTTACTTCTGGACCATCTTGACCAGCAGATCGGTGGAGAAGGACTTGGGGCGCTCGATGGGCAGGCCGAGGGCGCGATCCCAGACGAGGGAGGCCAGCACGCCGAGGGCGCGGGACACGCCGAACAGCACCGTGTAGTAGTTCATCTCCTTCATGCCGTAGTACTGCAGCAGCACACCGGAATGGGCGTCCACATTGGGCCAGGGGTTCTTCACCTTGCCGGTCTCGGTGAGGATTGGGGGCACCACCTTGTAGATCTTCGACACCAGCTGGAAGGTCTCGTCGTCGGGCAGGTGCTTCAGGGCGAACTCGCGCTGGCAGGTGTAGCGGGGATCGGTCTTGCGGAGCACGGCATGTCCGTAGCCGGGAACCACCTGGAAAATTTATGAGAATTCACTTATTAATCTCACATATTTTTATTTTACTTTAATGCTAATTGTATGTTAAGTTAATTAATATTTTTGTATATTATATTTGTGATTTATTTTTATGGGAAAAAAATAAAAAAATATTAAGAGTATAGAAATAATAAGAATATTTAAATATTAATACATAGTAAATATTATTTTTCTTATTATTCTTATATTAAAATATTAATGTTACTATATTGTGAATTATTTTCTTGTTGACTAGCATAATAATTTGATGGAACAAATAAATAAAATATTAAGAGTATAGAAATAATAAGAATATTTAAATATTAATAAATAGTAAATATTATTTTTCTTATTATTCTTATATTAAAATATTAATATTCCTATATTGTGAATTATTTTCTTGTTGACTAACATAATAATTTTAAAAGGCATGGGAACAAGTAAATAAAATAATAAGAATATTTAAATATTAATATTCTTATTATTCTCTTATTAAAACATTAATATTCTTTTACTGCCATTTAATTTCTTACTGACTAGCATACAAATTTTATATGGCATAAGAATAAATAAATAAATACAAAAAACAATAAGAAATATAAATAATCGAAAGGATCATTTCATTTTGACCATAAAATAGACTTTAGGTGGTTCTAAAAATACGAAATTATTCACGCCAGACAGAGAATATATCCAAGTTGATGGCCATTATTTTTGTTTTGAATGTTTTCTTATTTTTCGATTATATAAAGCATATAGCATATAAACAGCATATAGCTTTGAAAAAACCTTACCTGTCCCGACTTGAGGGTCTTCCAGATGTACTCCTTGAGCTGCTCCTCCGAGGGGTTGTTGCCGGCCTCCTTCTGCAGCTTGCGCAGCCACACGAGCACCTCCTGGTTGGCCAGGCCGTGCAGGGGACCAGCGAGACCGTTCAGGCCGGCGGCGAAGGACAGGTAGGGATCGCTGAGGGCCGAGCCGACCAGATGAACGGTGTGGGCCGACACATTGCCGCCCTCGTGGTCACTGTGGATGGTCAGATAGAGACGCATCAGCTCGGTGAAGGGGGCATTGTCGTAGCCGAGCATCTTCACAAAGTTGGCCGACCAATCCAGGCTCGAGTCGATCGAGCGGGAGCCCTTGCCGCCGCGATAGGTGTTGCAGTAGATGGTGGCCGCCACGACGGGCAGCTTGGCGATCAGATCCATGCTGTCCTCGTAGACGTACTCCCAGTACTTGCTCTTGTGCACGCCATCCGAGTAGGCCTTGGCGAACTTGCTGTCGTGGTTGAGAGCGGTGACGGCGGCGGCGAACTGCGACATCGGATGCAGGGTGGTGGGCATGTTGTTCAGCATGGTGACCACGTGCTGGGGCAGAGCGGCACGCTCGGCCCATTCGCGGGACAACTGCTGGACCTGCGACTTGGTGGGCACCTCGCCGGTGAGCAGCAGCCAGAAGAGACCCTCGGGCAGGGGCTCAGTGCCGCCATCGGCGGCCGGCAGAACCTTCTGGCACTCGGGAATGGAGAGGCCGCGGAAGCGGATGCCCTCGTCAGCGTCCAGCACCGAGGTCTCCGTGACCAGGGCCTTGATGCCGCGCATGCCGCCGTACATCATGTCGATGGTCGTCTCGCCCATCTTGGTGGCGCCATGCTGCTTGCGGAAGTTCTTCACGCGCTCCTGCTCCTGGGGCACCTTGGCGGTCAGCACGTCGCGCAGGCTCTTGCCATCGGCGGAGATCATGCGAACGTAGGCTCCCACATTTGGCAGTTTCTGGAAGGGATTGAAAGAGCGGGATGAGTTTGGGGGCTTTTCTTATTAAGAGTTTGAAAATGATCGATAATTTCGATATTTTTGACAAAGTCTATTCGATAACATCGATGTTTTGAAGGGAAAACACAAATGAAATATCGAGAAATTATAATTTAATAAGAAGTCAGTCAGTGATTCAGTGGGGGATTTATTCTGGGGGACTTTCAACGAATAAACAAAAATACCCTCTGGTTAATCATTTTATTTTGTTTTGCGGGGAATGAATTAACAAAGAAACCTCTTGTTATATTTTCTGGCCAAATTAAATACGATCTTAAAGCAAACATAGAAACAGTGTCAAGTAAACCAAACAAAATAACGCAAAGACTGTAATATTTTCTGTTCAAATTAAACACAAGAAAAGTTGAAAACAAACAGTCAAATTACACTGTTTTTCACCAAGTCAACGACCTATAGTGTTTTCCTTTGAAGTTTGATATCAAATGAAAATAATCGTTAATTGTTAATCGACAGCTATCGTCGGAATATTTTTGAGAAATCCGATAAATTTCAAAGTAAATCCGGTACAGCATACAAATTAAATTGCTAGCCCCTTGGGGCACATCAAAAATCCCACTAATTACTTAAATCCTGGCTCACAAGCACTTCCGATCAATGCTATCGATTGCAATCGTACGTTTTTTGCCCGTCATTGAACGGCGCTTTCAAGTACAAGGCGAAATGCAAATCGCACGTATTCCTCGTATTCCTCGTCTGTAAGGCAGTCTGAGCTCAGCTGATAACGTTGCACTCGGTCGTTATGTCAACATTTCAACATTTTCAACCATGACTCAACTTTGGTCCCCGGGGGTTTGACGAACTTTGCGGCACAAACAACTGTTTGCCGGCATTTAATTCAATTCAACTTGATTGCCGGTTTATTGAACGACCGCCCACAACACCTGAATCAATCACAGGTTTTCTTTTCTTTTTTTTTTAAACTTTTAAGCACTAAAAAAAAAAATTTCCCTGAGTGGCTATAAGTTAACGTGGCTCTTCAATATCATATCATATTTTTGTGATCTAAAGATCATAAAGAAATATATAATATAAATTGGTTCTTAACAATATTTATTTTCCGAATAGACGAAAAAATTAATATTTCAAACCCCCTTTTCCCAGAACTCGCCTGCCGCCCCTGGTGATCGGTGATCTTTTGCCACGCGTTGGCATTTGTCAAATAAAACGAAACGAAATGGAAATGGAATTCCGAGCCGCGTTTCGAGCCCCAACTCGAGAGTCCGATTTCAATTCCCATTCCGCTCGGCAGGCGCAAAGTGCGATTTATTTCTGATTGACAGCCGTACAAAGCCCCCTTTTTCCCTCTATTTGTATATATATATATTTTTTGCTTTCCTTTTTTCTTTATTTTTTCTGGTTGCGCGGCCAGTGGGTCAACAAATTCAATTAACCAAGTGAACTTGTGGCGCCGCCTGCAAAATTGAATTGCATGATTTGCGGACCATTTGATTTGCGAGCGATCCGAAAGCGACCGGTTTTGGTTTCCCCTTCAGCACAACATAAAGCCCCAAATTCATTGATAAAAAGTATTCTCGATGTGCATATTAATTACCCGATGATAATGGCCGAGAGTAGCGTACCGAAAACAGGTTGATATCGTTGGCAAAAAAAAGAAGGGGGCGG